CACCCGCACGCGGAGGGAAGCCAGACATTTTTCCGGACGCCACTAGGGGAGAGAGAGAGAGAGAGAGAGAGGAGAGTAGTTTTCATATTGTGAAGTTGTCGAGGAGGAGGAGGAGGAGGAGGAATAGGAAGAGGAGAAGAGGGAGGATGACGGAGGGAACGTGGAGGGAAGGAACGAGGGAGAAAGGGCTGGCTCCGCTGGCGAATACGATCCGCTGGCTGCCAGCCTCAGGCCAGGGTCCTGAGTGGGGGTGATCGCTGATTTTACCAGTTCCGCCGTTGCTCCTCCTCCTCCTCCTCCTCCTCCTCCTCCTCCTCCTTCTCCCCGTCAACCCTCATCTGCGATGCCTGGGCAGAGCTGTCCTGGGCCTCAGGGTGGTGTTCTGTACGTTCGTGCCGTGCCGACGCGGCAGCGCTCAAGGTTGAGCGCCGATGGTGGCCCAGAATCGGCCAACATGAGACGATTTGGCGATCGGAATGCCGCCGATGGTTCAAGGTTGAAAGGAGGAGGAGGACGACGAGGAGGAGGAGGAGGCGGAGGAGGTACACGCGGTGTCAGAAACCAACGCTGGGGTCGTTTCGACACGAGCCCGCCAAAGCCAAACATCCTGGACGCGGACAGGAGGTCGCACCCACCCCCCAGACATTCGGTGCCTTGAGCCTCTCGGCGCGAGGCTCCCATGAGGTCTGGACCCTCTCTCCAGGGCCAGCTCTTCGCCCCGAGCTGTTCCTCGGCGAGTCCAGGGGCCCGGCGAGGACCTCCCGAGGCCGAGGACAACGAGAAGCCTCCGCCGCGAGCTTCTCGAGAGGTCGGAGGTCGTGTATGCCCACCGCGCCGGGGCCGCAGAAGGGAAGGGTGGAAAAACCACCCCGACCGGACAACTGGCGTTTACTAAACGGCCCTGGGCGGCAGAAGCAGCAGTCATCCAATACAGGGGTGTTGTTGAGAGATCACCGCATGCATGCATGTGTTTTTGTTTGCCGTATCGCATTGCACGCAGTATTGTGTCGATCATGCACTTGCTGTGTTCGCATGCCGCTGCCATTTTCATTCGAGTCCTGACGAGCCCCAGCAGGGGCGAAACGTTGACACGCGTACTGAAAAGGCACGGGCTTGAGAGCGCCATACGAGAAAGATTAAACAGCCCTGCCTTGCTTGATGCCTTCTTCGGGTGCGTTTGCGAAAATTCCTCGCGTGTCGGGGTGGTGATTGAATCGCTTCGCTCATTCCGCCGGCCCTGGAGCGCTATTTGGGGCCTTCTGGGGCAGTCTTGAGGGCCTCTTGGGGGCTTCTTGGGAGCGTTTTGGGGCTCCGTGGCGGCGTCTCGGGCTCCCCTGGGGCCTCTTAGGGGGCTCTTGGGGGCCCCTTGGGGCGGGAGGGGGGGTAGTCGATTGCAGCCACCCCCTCAGAGGCCACGATCCTCGTGAGGGGTGGCGGAAAATAGCCTCTCCCTGGGGATCGCCCTGGACCGGGCTGGGGATCGGCCGGGTTATTTTTCGTCCGGGGGCCCCCAGGGGCCGCCCCGCGCGCGCGAACTAGAAATGTTGTTAAGTAGTTACAGGAGATCTTAGCACGCCTCTGGCCCGTTGGGCCGGCGAATTTCTCGGGGTGGACTTCCTGCCCTCTAAGGAGGGCTCCCGGCGGGGCACAGCGGCGCCGGTGCACCGCGGCGCCCCCTGCTGCGCCCGCCGCCGCAGCGCAGCGCAGCGCCTCGGCCGGCGGCCCCTTCCCCCCCCCCCTCCCCTCCCCGCGTCGGCGAGGCCAAGGGCGCCCTCGAGGGCGCGAAGTTCTTCGCGCTTCGCGCTTCGGCTCCGATTCCTCCTCCTCCTCCTCCTCCTCCTCCTCTTCTTCCCTGGGAGGGAGGCGTCGCGCGAGAGAGCGCGAAGTGATTCGCGCTCTCCGCGCGTCGCGCAGCGCGGAGCGCGAAGTCGGGAGCCCTGGGAGGCGGCCCAGAGGAGGGGCCGAGAGGGATGGAGCCGGCGGCCGCCCACCCGCAGGGGCAACGATAGCCTATCGTTGCCCATCCCCCCTATCGTCGATAGGCGGGGATGGGCATATCAAGCAGTGGCGAAGCGTCCTGGCTCGCCTATAGCCCCACCAAACAATGTTCTAAGAACCTTTTGTGGTTCCCACAACATGTTCTTAGAACATTTCTGGCTGGGGCTGTCTTGTTTTATCACATCGGGTGTATGTTCTAAGAACGTTGTTTTTGTTCTTAGAACATTCTTGGGCTCTAAGAACATTTCGTGGTAGGACTATAGGAATGCCGTGAAGGTCGGTCCCTGCTCAGCAATCGCCCACTCATCGCCGAGAGGTGCACGATAGCCCCCACCTTCCCAGGAAGGTGCGGGCTCACCATCAGAGGCCCATCGCCGATCTGTTGGCGATGTATTGCCGATTCCAGGTCGATGCATCCCCCCCTATGCCAGTCCCCCCCCTATCGTTGCCCCTCCCACCGGGACCCTTCAAGCAGTGGCGAGGCGTCTTGGCTGGCCTAGATCATCGGGCCCGCCAGAGGATGTTCTAAGAACCTGCTAAGGTCTGCGCGAGATGTTCCAGTAAAACATTTTTGGCGCTGAGACTGTCTTGTTTCAACGCATCGGGCGTATGCTCTAGGAGCATGTTGTTTTGTTATTTAATCGTTTCGCTCATTCCGCCGGCCATTACGGTCTCATGTCTGCCGTTTGCCCGAGGGCCTGGTGTCAATGCGGCGCTTTGGGGGTTCCTGGGGCCGCTTGGGGGACTCCTGGGGCGCTCGGGGGGGCATTTGGGGGGCCTCCTGGGGCCGCTTGGGGGACTCTTCGGGGCCTCCTGAGGGCCTCGTGGGGGCCTTTGGGGCCTCTTAGGGGCCTCGTAGGGGCTTCTTAGGGCCGAGGGCTCGAAATTTTGTTTCGTGTTCCCTCTCTGGGGCCCCTCTGGGGGTGTTCTTGGGGCCCTCTTGGACCGTCTTGGAGGCTTCTTGGGCCGTCTTCGAGCCCTCTTGGGCCATCTTGGGGCCCTCTTGGGGGCCTCTTGGGCCCTCTTGGGGCGATCTTGGGGGCCTCTGGGGCCGTCTTGGGGCGTCGGGAACCGAAAAGGTGGAAGCTCCAAAATCTTTCAAAAACCTAAGGAAAAACAATGAATTTTGCCTCCGGGGGCCCTCTTGGGAGTGCTCTTGGAGGCCTCTTGGGGCGTCTGGGGGCTATCTTGGGCGTCTTGGAGCGATCTTGTGGCATGTCGGACCCCTCGTGTACCATCTTGGGGGCCTCTTGGGGGCCTCTTGGCCTTTCTTGGGGCTCTCGGGGACGTCTCGGAGCCCTTTTGGTGCGCTCATGGAGCGCTCCTGGAGCGCTCTGGGGGACTCCTCCCGGGACTCTCTCAGGACCTTGCCGGGGTACTTTTCGTCCGTGGACCCCCAGGGGCCGCCCCGCGCGCGCGAACTAGAGAATTGTTAACCAGTTACCGGAGATCTTAGCACGCCTCTGGCCCGTTGGGCCGGCGAATTAGAACATGTTGGGTTTGAAGAACATGTCGTGGTATCACAATAGGAATGCCGGGACGGTCGGTCCCTGCACAAAAAAGAGGACAAATCAATGAGCGACTCCAGAAAAACGGGGTCGTCTGCACCGAAATTCGCGCGTCAGCTGCCCGCGTATTGAGCCATCTTGGGGTGGCTCGGCCCAGCTTAGAGAGCATCTTAGACTCGCGGACACCCTCCTGGAGCCATCTCGGACCAGGAGGCACCCTCTGACCCTTCGCGCCCCCACCCCACCCTTTCCAGGCCCTTGGCGAGGGGTAGGGGAGGAGTAAGCTCCTTCCCCCGAGCAGGGGAAGGAGGGATTTCAGCAGAGAGGAGCCTCCAGAGCAGCCCAATCCATTCTCACCAAGTAGATCACGGAAAGCTGAAACTGTAAGTTTCCTGAGCTTGGACGAAAGAAAGAAAGACGCAAGTTCATTAAACCACTTACGCCCAGAGTGATGGTGAGATTTGTTTGAGAAAAAGCCTGCGCTCGCGCTCTTGTGAATCCTAAGATAATGATCGGTTTCTCTCAATTCCCATCGCATTTGACCAATCGTGCACCTCGCGCGCGCATGCCGAACTCATTCAAACGCCCTTGCGCGCGTGCTGTCGCCAGAACCCCTTGCAGCAAGCGGGACGAAGTGCACACGCGCGCGTCGTCGCACGCGCATGCCGAAAGCTTTCAACATTGTGTGTTCGTGAGGGCTTCAAAATCGAATGTTCGGAAACCGGATGTTTGTTCGCAACGATGTAAACAATTGCATTGCAACAGGAAGTGTCAAGAAGGCCTGCGTTCTCGCCCTTGCGAGTTCTCACGGAAACCACAGGATTGTCGAACCTTTTCGAAAACCTTCATCGCCGACACGTGGACGGTATCATCGTTTTCGGCATGATCAGCATGGGCGCCGTCATTCGCTTTGACGTCGTCATCGTCATCATCGTCACCAACATCGCTACTATCATCATCGTATCTGCCGTTGTCGACATACTATGGTCCCGCGCCCGCCAGAGCCACCGACTCGCACTGAAGCGCCCGCGCGCCAGCGCAGCCTGCGATACGCGTCTGGAAGTGCCCCGCGGCCACGCTCTGCACGCGAGCCTGCACGCGCCAGCGTGGCCGCAGCGACGCGACAGGCAGGGCCAAGCAGTCATCGCAATCACCGCCAAATGGGTTTTGCAAACCAAGATGCAGGTGACTGGGTGGGATGATTGCACGAGTAGTCCTGCTCACAGCTGTACGGGCACGGCGAATTGCCCCACATAGACTCTACCACTTAGATTGCACCACGCAGTTTGCACCCTTTCAGTGACACCGCTCACACACACACACTAGTTTCGAGCAGCTTGTGGCACAGATCGTACACCACAGTAGTTGCACACAGAGAGTGCGCCTTGCCAACATTCTGCTCCGCAGCCCGTGCTCGCTCTCCAGGGAAAAGGGAAACACCTTCCTGGAGCTGCTTCCTCACACCCCTCCGGGCCTGCCTCTTGGCGCCGCCGACCCCGCCGCGGACGCCCCGCCGCGCCGCCGTGCCGGCCCCCCCCTCGGCAAGCCCGGGCGGGGCGGGGCAGCCCACGCGCCATGGCGCGCAGCGCCCCCGCGCGCTCTCCTCCTCGCACCCGCTCGGCTAGACGTAAGAGTGACCTTTCGCCGGAGTGACATTTGGTGCGGGCACAGATGGTCGGGGGCCCCCAAACGGTGTGGTGACCACACTGTGCGGTGAGTCGGTGGGGATTCGGGGTCACCGCACGGTTTTGGGACTCGAGGTCCTCTCCGAGAATGTTTCGGGCGACAGGGGCCTCAAGGGTCCCAAGACTGTGCGGTGACGGACCGTGCGGTGAGGTCTTGGGGGATTTCGAGGTCACCGCACGGTGCGTCACCGCACCGTTTCGGGACTCCAAAGATGGGTCCCCAGATGGCTGAAAACGAAGCAGGAGCGGCGGCTTGCGCGCCAAGGTTTGGTCCCCCCCCCGGCCCCCCGCGAGCCGCGCACCAGAGGTCTTCTTAACCCAGGGTCACTCTTGCGTGTAGCCGACCCACGCGGTACCCATCGGTCGTTGAAAGTAGGTATTTCTGGACTCCCAGAGCCCAACCTTTTTTCAAGCGCCTGCCTACTGCAAGAATCGAAGCGATTCTACTGCGTTTTGCTACTCTCTGGGCGGGCCCGAACCCAGTCTGCTTTATCCGCCTTTCTACTTCATGTTTCTACCTACTTCTTCCGACCGATGGGTCGTTGGGGGGAGGGTGGGGGCTTCTCAGAAACACCCCTGCTTCTTAGGAGGCGCAGGCTGCATCTATGGTAGCTGTGGGCCGGTGCTTTCTAAGGGCTGACCTCCTCACAAGGAGCCTTCCCCCCTCCCCCAGGCGCCGCTCTGCGCGCCGCCGATCCCCGCTGGGGTGGACAGGGGGGAGGGGAGGGTCCAGGGTTGGAGGGTCGAGGGGGGGAAGGTCGAGGAGCTCGGCACCAGGTCATGGGAGCCTTCGTAGGTCCTCGGGATTCTGTCTAGCGTGGTCAACCGTCTGGTAATCGATGGGAAAGCGCCGATGAAGCGTCGGTCAGCGACGACGAGCGTCGTTTAGCATCGGCTCGCGAGAGCCAGCAAGGTGGTATTTGAGGCTCCCATGAGTTGCCGCAGGAAGAATTATCGAGGAGGTTTGAGAGCGGAGGGAAGAGGGGTTGAAGGAATGAGAAGGTCCACGCTTCCTGACCATCCATTCAGAGACGTGTCTTGCCTTTCAGATTGAAGGCCGCGGCGGGCTCAGCCAATCGATTGTCCAGCCGCGCCTGCGAAAGTAGAATCCAAGTTGCCGACACTGCGTGTCTTACGCTCTGCGCAAGAAAGAGAGAACGAGGAACGACAAGGGAGGAGGCGAGGATCCCCTGGAGCCTGGCATCGCTCGGACGTGTGCGTTCTCTCTCGGCGAGAGCCATTGAGGACGATCCTGGACCATCGAGCAACAACAAAAAGACACGCACGAAACCGAAACATGCACGGGAAATGGACGTCCGAGCGATGACGTCCTTGCTCTTGCGTCCTTGGGGTTTTCGTCGTCCGCCGCCCCAGAAATCCCAACTTCGGCTTCCAAGGGTCTTGCGTCCTCGCCGCGCGTCCCTACTAAGGTGTTTCACTGTAGGCTCTGCGAGAGAAAGAAAAAACTCAGGAGGGGAAAAAACACACAGACACAATTAATCGTCGATTTCAAGGAAAATATAGGAAAATATGGGAAGTGGGGGGGAAGACAAAAACCCAGAAAATATGAGAAAATATGGGGCATATTTTTATTTGTGTGTATTTCTTTGTGTGTCCTGGGGCCCCTTCAACAACCTCGGAGCGACAAGGGAGGAGGCGACGACCCCCTGGAGCCGCGGGGCGCCCCGCGCGAGGTGATCCCCATCGGTGGCATCGGCACGCCCCTGGCGGGGCCCCCGCCCCCCGAGGTGTGGCCGAGGCCCCCCCCCCGCCGCCGCCGAGCCCCCCCCCGCCGCCGCCGCCCCGGCCCCCTTTCGGTCCTCGATCTCCCTCCTCGCTCTTGCCCTCGATCCTCGATGCTCCTCGATCCTCGACCCTCCTCCTCGTGCTCGCGTCTGCCTCGGCCCCTCGATCCTGCGCCTCGGTCCTCGATCCTCCTCGATCCTCCTCCTCCTCAGTCCTCAGTCCTCGCACCTCCTCGAGCCTCCTCGATCCTCCTCGATCCTCCCCCCCTCCTCCTCAGTCCTCGCTCCTCGATCCTCCTCCGTCTCCTCCTCCTCCTCGGTCCTCGATCCTCCAGACCTCTGCCGCCGATTGGGCATGGCAGGGGCCGGCGCCCTGAGCCCCCCCGTTGTCGCAGCCGCCCGCGGAGGGGGGGAGGGGGGGGGGGTGCAGGAGCACGGGCGGTGGTGGATGATGAGATGTTGCCAGAGGGGTCCCTTGGCCCAAGGTGTCCCCGGGAGCCCTTGGTTCCTGTTCAAGGCGTTCCTTTGCAAGTACTTCGTCCTCGGCACCGCCTGATTCCGGGGCTTCGCCCCCTCCTGGCCTTGATGTGAGGCCCCTCCTTCTGCTTCCCTCTCGCTAATTCAAGCTGTGCGCGGCCCGCTTAGCTTCGACCGGAAGAGGTGCGCTCTCGACCCGCGGGCCAAAAAAGTCCCGGGAGCCCTAGCCATTCCGAGTAATAGAGCCGCTAACCCCAGTAACACGAGGAACGCGTGGCCCAACCTGGGTCACCATTGCTGCATCAGGGAAAACCATATGGTGGTTTGCTCTGATGCAGCTGTAAGGAAAAGAAGTCCAATCCCTGATGGTTTGAGCCTGGCTCCGCGGTCAGGGAAGCTCCGCTGGAGATGGCTCTGTGTCAAGCAAGGGCTCCTTTCTGTCAATCTTCGGCGAGCGAGGGGGGGGAGTCAGAAGGAGGTGACCTTCTCAGAAGGCTCGGAAGTCCCCCGGCCTTCTGAGAAGTGTTCTAAGCCTCCCCCGAAGACAAATACAACCTTGTCAGAAGGCGCGAGGTTTTCGGAGAAGTCCCGCCGCCTTCTGAGAAGGCCTTCTCCTTCTCTTTCCCACCCTCGCTCGCCGCCAAGTCGAGGCGAGTTTGACACGGTGCTGACGAGGGCCAGGCCGGGGCCAAGCGACCGCGGGCAGCGTTGGCCTCCAGAGTGCTGTAGGTTCGCGTCGGGTCGACCGGTGGCGGCCCCGCAGCCAGCGTTCCACGCTGAACGCCGCCAGCGACCCAGAGTCGGTCGATGCCGAACGATCTGACGCTGTAGGAACGGCCCATCGCTCCTCCTCCTCCTCCTCCTCCTCCTGCTCCTCCTCCTCCTCCTCCTCCTCCTCCTCCTCGTTAGACCGTCCCCGGCGATTCCCGCGGTGTCAGAGACCGGCGCCGTGGTCGGCACGGCACGAGCTTGCCGTGCCCCTCGCGAGGCCAGGAGGGCCCCCAGGGCCTCAGCACGGAGCGACGAGCGGGGGAGACGCCGCGGGCCAGGAGCGCGGGCCGGAGGAGGGGGCGGGCGTGGGGGGCGCGGCGGGCGGGAGAGGAGGGAGGGGAGCGAGGAAGGAGGGGAGGGGAGGGGAGGGGAGGGGAGGGGAGGGAGGGGAGGGGAGGGAGGGGGGAGGGAGGGGAGGGGAGCGAGGGGGAGGGGAGGGGGAGGGAGGGGAGGGGAGCGAGGAAGGAGGGGAGGGGAGGGGAGGGAGGGGATGGGGAGGGAGGACGGGGGACGCGGGTGGCCCGGGGGGGGGGGGGAAATCGTGGATCGGGGCCGAGGTCGCGGGGCGGCGAGGGCCGGAGGAGGGAGGAGGCGGAAGGGGCGGGGAGCGGGGAGGCGGCAGAGGTCGGGCGCGGGGGGCGCGCGTTCGGCCGGCCCCAGGCAGCGGGCGAGGGGGGCAGGCGCGAGTGGTGCTGGGCCTGTCTTCCACCACCACCACCATGAGTTGGGGGGGGAGGGGGTCCTCCTCCTCCTCCTCCTCCTCCTGCTCCTCCTCCTCCTCTTCCTCCTTCTCCTCCTCCTCCTCGTCCTCGACCTCCTTCCCGCCTCCAACTTGTGGTGGTGGTGGTGGAAGACAGGCCCAGCAATGGATGCAGGGCCGTGTCTCCAATCCGCGTGTCCTTCACTTTCTCTGGGGAGCGACCAATGACGTAAATACAGAAACGTGGAGGTCCGCGCGGGTTTCTCGGATCGGCGCTGGAACCCCTCTGGCGGCGCCTCTGGCGCCACTCCTGGCGCGCTCCGCGCGCCATGGAGGGGGCCCAGCCCCGAGCCGAGAGACCTGCGCGGACCTCTGAGTTGTTCTGTTCATGGCATTGTTTGTTCCCCTATTCTCCTTCTTATCGTTCGAACCTCACAGCCCAAAGTAGGTCTGCACCTGCGTACACACTTGTCACTTGGAGATCACGCACCATGTGAGCGCTTACATCAATCATGAAGCAACGCAAGGCAAACATACACGTAAACGTCCACGTTATAGTCATAGTTGGGTGTAAATGTAGGGTTTCGGTTCGTTTTCGGCCCCCCGCGATTTTGAAATATAGATACATGCTGTTGGCAAGTTCACCAGGCAGCGTCCACCACAAATCTTTGTGTGTTGGCCCAGCTGCTCCGGGCGAGCCAGTCCATGATCCGGGAATCGACACCGAGTGCCCGCAAGCCGACATCAAGCTCTAGCACACATGAGACGGTGGTCGCGTTCTTTGTGAGACGCGCTATCGAATCGGCATGTACATCTCGCATCGGCGCCGGCATCGAAGGACAAGAGGCGACGAGGACTGACGGATCTTTGCATGGGAGGCAGGATGCAGCAGGGAACAGGTCTGCTCAAGAGGGCCACGTCGCTCCGCCGACCCCCCAGAGCAGGACGTGCGGCTTCTGATTTCGTTTGCACTTCTTGCCGCTCCTCGTCGCGCACGCGCGCAGCCGTTGCCGACTGGTTCCCCTTCCTCCTCCGCGGCTGTTGCGGGGCTTCTTCGGGGCCCCTTGGAGGCCTCGGGGGCGGCCTCCCAGAGCCCGGGGCTGGCTCTGCGGGGTCCTTCTGGCGGGGCTTCCTCATTGGGGCCTCTTGGGGGGCATGCTGGGGGGTCCTGTGGCCCGCTTGGGGGTGGAAGGGCTCTCTTGGCCCTTGGCAACCACCACTGCCACATGCAGGACGGGGGAGAAGGGAGGATGAGGAGGTCCTCCTCCTCCTCCTCCTTATCCTCCTCCTCCCTATCCTCCTCCTCCCTCTCCTACCTATGGTGGTGGTGGAACATGGGCCCATCACTTGCGAGTGCCCCCCCCCCCGCCCCTCTCAAGGGTCTCTCTTGAGACCCTCGCTGGGTGTCGGGGCCCTTCTGGGGCCCCTTCTCGGCAGTCCCTAGGGGCCTCTCCAGGCCGTCTTGGGACCCGGCTCGGCCGCCTGAGGGCCCTCGAGGGATCTCTCTGGGCCTCGAGGGGCTGGTCTGGGGGGGGGGGCACCTGGGGGGGGTCGGGGAGGGGCACCTTGCGGATCGCTTAGGGTTACGTCGAGCACGTCCTTTTTACAGGAGGAATGTTCAAACATAGTGTTAAACATAGTACAGGGGGCGATGCTTTTTTGATTACCATGTTTGATCATGCCTGCAAGTTGTTTGATTATGTTTTACGTGTCTTCCAAAACCCCCCTGTAGGATGACATGCCCGACCTAAGCCTAGGGCGCAGGCCCGAAAAGGAGAGAATCATATAACGGTCAGACGCTGTAGCCTCTTGAGGCTGGGAGTGCGGGCCCCAAGAGTACCTCCAGTCCTCTTCCCTCCTCTACCTTCCTCTTCACCTCCTATCTTCCCTGGGGGAAGGAGGGGGTGAGGGAGGTGGTGGAGGTGGTGGTGGTGGTGTATATGTTAGGGCCCCGTAGGGTGTTCTGAGGCGTTCGGGCATGTAGGGCATCTTGGACGCGATGGTGGTCAGTTTCTGACTCACTGTTCTGCCGATCGGCGTGGGCCCTCGCAGCCCTCCTCCCCTCCACTCTGGAGTAGATCTTTTGGCTATTTTCAGCGCCTGTTTCAAGCAGGTGGAGTCTCCCCCATAGGACGCACTGCTGCAATAACTCGCACTAAGCAGAGGTCCAGAGCCAGACCCCCCTCCCCCCATCCTGTTTCGCCCAATGTCGCATGCCGAATAAGAAAACGTTAACACGGACGCTGGACTTCGAAGGTGAGTTGACGAGTTGGTAGGGGGACCCCCTTTAAAACGCGAGTTTGGATCCTGCATGGGGGATGAGGGACAGGACGAGGGGTGGGTACACGCAAATATCTCACACGCTTGTCACTCCCAGCAATCGGTGGTCAGAATGGTGTTGCTTTCGATGTCGTCCTGATGTTCGAACACGCCCATCGATTGCATCCACGGACCAGAGGTCATTCCGCCTCCGCCGACAGTCGACGACGCGTGCGACGACGCGAACGACGACGTGTACGACGACGTGTACGACGACGACGACGACGTGTACGACGACGACGACGACGACGACGTGTACGACGACGTGTACGACGACGTGTACGACGACATACGACGACAACGTGCGACAGAAAAATTTGAGCCAATCACCTCCTGCACCTCGTCCTTGCCGTCCGGTGTCGATTCCCATCGGGCTTCTTTCGAACTGGTTTTCGATTCCGTTCGTGTTTGTCGATGTTTGTCGAGTCGATGGCGCAGCTGACTTCTGCCGATTCGATATTCGCGCCGATCCGATTCGATTTATCGAGCCGATGCTGGTGTCGCCTGCACTCGCTGCCAGACGGTGGCATTATGCACTCACGTACTGAGTGAGGTTTGCATCACTTAGTTTGAGTTTGCTAGTTCCGTGTGTGGAATGGTGTCGCGCATGTTGCTTGCCAAGGTTCCAGGTGATCAAGAAGTGCGTGTTCGTCATGATGGCTTGCGTGTACCTCCGCCTGTCCAGTTCATACGAAAGCGTGTATATGTCGTTTTCCTCACGGCGCATGTGTGCGTTTGATTGTTGGTGTATCCATATTTGTGTCGTAAATGTGTGGCAATGATGTCACGGATTCGGCGGACTATGAAATGAGGGATGGGACGAGTGGAGATACAACGGGTGATTTCAGTGCGTCAGAAGATCCACAGCGTTTTTAGAGCGAGTCGCGTTCCTGTGCCAACTCGGTTTCGAAAAGCGTCAGCAGGAAGAGGGGGAAAGAGGGCGAAAGGGGGAGACACACACACACACCACACCCCATCAGGTAGGTAAGTCTCGGGGACAGCGGGCCCACGTTCCGCGGGCCCGACGACCCTGACGGGCCGCGACCACGTCTCGCCGGCGACGGTTCCGCGAGCTTCTCAGTCACTGCTGGTGCGGCGCTGGACCTCCTCTCCTCCGCCTCGTCCTCGTTCGCCTTCTCATCTCTATTTCCTGGATTCGTCTCTTCCTCTCTTCATATCCCATTTCACCTGAGCCTCTGGAGCCATCCAAGGCCCCCACAGAGTTCACCCTCTTGGCGTCTCCACCCCAGGCCTGGGCCTCCTCCAGCAGGGCCTTGCTAGAGGCCCTGCGGGATCGGCTCTTGAGGGATAAATCCAGGGATCTCTCATAGGCCCCTTTCGTCTACCAGACAGAGCGTGCCACGGCACCTGAGGTCCGCGAGAGCGAGAATTCCTTTGGCCGGATCTGGATGAGTGAGGGGATTTGTTGGCATTCTGCCGTGAGGCAGCCATCTGATCGGAGAACCGGTGGCAGCCATCCAGTATCTTGCCATGGCAAGCTAAATAGCGCTTCTCCTGTCAGCTCGCGACCCAGCCGAGGTCTTTGACAGAACATCGAAGACAGACTTGGCATCGACATCGACCACGGCAAGAGCAGCCGCATTTTTCCCCCAGCTCGCGAGACCAAGAAAGCGCATCTGAAAGCGGGGAGGTGCCAAGGTTCCGCGAAGCTCGGGCACGTCTCCACAAACAGCATCTCCACATATAACATCTGCAGCCAAGGAACCTCGGCCACGGGGCTACTGAGATAGAGAGTCTCGGCGGAGGATTCGATGCCCTGCGATCGGCGGAGGATCCGATGCCCTGTCTCGGCGGCGAGCGCCACGGGCGGAGAGACATTCTGGCCCTGCGATCGGCTCGCGTGGCGACGTCAGCCGCACAAATGGCCAGCCAGGCCCCCTTGGGAGCCCTCTCTGCTTGCCGACCCTGTTCCAGACGCGGCTGACGCCGTGACCAAAACAAGGAGGAATTGGACCCGCAGTCCAAACGGCGAGGCGTTAGGACGAAGTGGACTTGAGGTGCGTGCGCACCCTAACCGGCATCATGGCCTCCGCCACTCACCACCCACCAGACGCGTCTGACGCCGTGACCAAAAATCGACTGGACGTAAGAGTGACCTTTCGCCGGAGTGACATTTGGCGCGGGCCCCATGGGGCCCCCCGACCGCCGAAAACGAGGCAGTAGCAGCGGCTTGCGCGCTTGCTTTTGGTCCCCCCGGTGGCCCCCCAAAAGCCGCGCACCAAAGGTCACTCGTACCCAGGGTCACTCTTGCGTGTAGCCGAAAAGAAAGGAATGGGATCCGCAGTCCAAAACGGTGAGGCGCTGGGACGAGGTGGCCTTGAGGTGCGTGCGCACCCCGACCGGCATGATGGCCTCCGCCGCGGCAGGCCACGGCACAGTTCCGGCCAGGATGGGCGCGCTCCCGGCCACGTCTGGGCGCGAGGAATGGGGGGGGGGCGACGAAAACGGGGCACGGGGCCTGACAGGAGAAGAGACCCGGGGCCCATGACCACGACTCTGGCATCACTCTGCGACACAACCATGGAAGTTCCCAAAAACAACACAAAGTGGCCCCAACAAGGCGGCCGCACCAGCCGTGGCGCAGAGCGCCCACTTGGTGCATTTAGACAAACCGACCCCTTTGGAACCACCCAAGCCGAATACCCAGAAGCACAAGAACAACTTCTGGAGTCGCCTGGTGAAAACAGACGCCCCTGCCACACCTACCCCAAGTCTTCCACGCACGACGAAACGCCCCAAAAGCACGAGCCCAAACCCGGCAAGCACGGCCCCGGCTGCGAGGGGCCTCGGGGGCGGCGGCCACTCGGGGGAACCCGGTGGCCTGGCAGATGCGGAGGGCCGAACCCACCACGAGGCCGCCCCCGAACGGTTGGAGAAACCCGCCGTTTGGCAGAGTGCCGTGTAGAAACACGAACACTGGCAGCGCAGCCATACACTGTGCAAGCCGACCCGGGAAGAGCCGGAGCTCGTCGTCATGCGTGTTTTCCTTGCCTGACCTCCTCACATGCATTACTCTGTAGGCTCCGATGACCACCTTCCGGCGTCGATGGGTCATGTTAGGGTGCCCCCCCCCCCCCGACCGTGGCCGAAGCCACCGCCGAGCGACACAGGCCTCCCGGGACCACACACCCCGCCCGACCATGGCCGAGACCACCGCCGAACGACATGTGCGCCCCCAGCGGACGGTGCGCCTCGACCAAGGGCGTCGCCGTCCTACCTCCCCGTCCACCCTCAGGGGAAAGGTCCGGAGACCAACCGCCCCTGATAGGTTGTTGGACGAGGTGGGTTGTACACTCCCGCCCCCGAACGAAGAAATGAGACAGGAAATAGGTCCGCCACAGCCCCGAGCCAGAGACGCAACACCAAAGCCAGCGAACCTATCCCCACCGAAGGCTCAAGAGGGGGCGCCCCCGAGGGGGCATGGGTTAGCCGTACCTCCTCCCTCCTCCTCCCCTCCTTGATCCTTCACCCCGAAGGCCCGAAGAAGACAGAGCCCCAACAACGCCACTAAGAACGTGGAATGGGGTGGGGTCGAGAGGAGGGGGGTGAAGATAAGGTGGAGAATACGTTGTCCCAGGTGCGGCCGGGCCGCTCGACACTTGTGTACCTGCACCTGCGACGACGACGACGACGACGATCGTAGTCCCAGCAATTGAGCGGCCACACGTGGAGGCCTGTGTACCTGCACCTGTACGGTTAGCTTCCATCCAGACAAAGCAACCATCTATAATGGCGTTGACACACCATCTAGACTTCGCATCATGGGGCGTACTTACACTTCCTAACCGTACGTGATGGCAGTATTGAGTCTGGGAACCTGCGCCGAGCGAGCCTCGACTCCCGGGAGAAAGCATTTTGACAGCGTTGGTAACGAGCATGGTGTTCTGCTCCTAGCGTCTGCCGCGTCGAATCGCAAGCGATCTCGGGCGATGCGCCAGCCAGCGCCAATCAGTCATCGCAATCGCCGCCACACGGGTTTCGCAAACCAAGTTGTTGGCGGGGAGGTGGGATGATTGCGCGAACAGTGGAGTTGACAATTCACGAATGAACGTTGGTTAATTGCACCACGCAATTGCATCAGCATAGACTGTATTACCTCATATGGCACTCACCATAAAGCATGCAACACGTATATTGTACAACCTAGGTAGCACCACATATATCGCCACATGTATGGATCCACGCAGATTGCGCAGCATAGAGTGCACCACGATTTATCGCGCAACATAGATTGCACCACATAGGTTGCACAGCATATGTTGCACACCCTAGGTTGCACATCATCAGGGTGAGGGGGCCGAACGGTCATTCATTGCCCCTGGGCGCGTGGCGGAAGAAGGAATTCGTGGTGAGAATTCTGCTTGTTGCGTCGTTGTTGATGTTGTTTGTTGTCGTCGTCCCACCCACGACCCACCCGCGACCCACCCCGCGACCCACCCCACGATCCACCCCACGACCCACCCCGCGACCCACCCGCGACCCAACCCGCGACCCACCTGCGACCCACCCCGCGACACACCCACGACCCACCCGCGACCCACCCGCGACCCACCCCGCGAACAGCGGCCCACCGCGCGACCCATCCGCGACCCATCCGCGACCCACCCGCGACCCACCCCGCGACCCACCCGCGACCCACCCCGCGACCCACCCTCAAGGGAGGAAAGACCACCCAGACCCGACAATTGACGTTTAGAAAATGGCCTTGGGCTTTGAGTAAACAGCTCTGCCCTGTTCGATTCATTCCTTGTGTGTGTTTACAAAACGGCTTCGCTTGTACGGGTGATTATTATGGGGTGGATTTTCTGCCTTTACACCCGCGACCCAACAGCGACCCACCCGCGACCTACCCACATTGGGTTAACGAAAAAAGTCGGCGCCTGCGTCGGGCTCTCTGTATAATTTGTGAAGTTTTGGTGTGCGGCGGGCTTCTCCAGAGTCTCGAACATTGCCGACGTCCCCACCGCCCTCTCACTTTCACCCGCATCTACGGGGTGCTACGTATATTCTCCTTTCTAAAAGGAGAATAGACTCTACCCCCCCCCCGGACTTATCCGTTCCCCTTTCGGGAATGTAAATCATATATGATTCTGACCACTCGTCCATCCTAAATATGAAATCATATCATCCCAGCTAGGCCGGATTCCCCCCTTGAGGTTCCTTTGTAAACACACATTATGCGGTGACATTTTTTGTTCTAACAGAACACTTTTTCGCGAATCCCTTGCAAAAAATAAGACGAAGTGCACACGCGCGCGTCGTCGCGTGCGCATGCCGAAATCCTTCAAAAACCTTCGGTGCCGGAAGTTTCGCAATCGAGTTCCCAAAAAACATACAAAAGCAAAGGGTTTCGCAACACCGATTTGCTAAAAAAACTTCCGCGCGAGCTCTTGCGAAATCTTGGGAAAACCATAGGTTTTTCAAGATTTTCACAAAATGCTACCAAACGGGCTTCGTGCGCGCGCATGTCGAAATCTGTCGAACACCCTTGCGCGTGTGCCGTCGCGAAAATCCTCTGCAAAAAATGGGACGAAGTGCAGACGCGCGCGTCGTCGCGGGCGTATGCCGAAAACCTTCAAAACCCATCGGTTTCGGAAGGATTTCAAAATCGTGCGTCCAAAAAACCTACAACAACCTAAGGTTTCGCAACACGGATTTTCAACAAAAGCGTGCGCGCGCGTGCTCTTGGGTCGTCGTCGTCGTCGTCGTCGCCGTCCTCCCTCCTCCCGCGTCGTCGTCGTCGTCGTCGCCTACGTCGTCCTCTGTTTTTTCTCGTGTTCGTCGTCGTCGTCCTCTTTGGCGTCGTGGTCGTTTCCGTCGTCGTTGTCGCCGTGGTCGTCCGTCCTCCTCCTCCCACGTCGTCGTCGTCGTCTTCGGTTCTATTTCGTCACCGTCGTCGTCGTCGTCGTCGTCGTCGTCGTCGTCTTCCCTCCTCCCTCGTCGTTGTCGTCGTCGGCGTCGCCGTCCTTCCTCCTTCGTCGTCGTTTGCGTCGTCGCCGTCCTCCCTCCTCCATCGTCGTTGTCGTCGTTGTCGTTGTTGTCGCCGTCGTCGTCCTTCCTCCTTCCTCGTCGTCGCCTTCGTTGGCTTTGTCGTCGTCGTCGTCTTCGTCGTCGTCGGCGTCGGCGTCGTTGTCGTCGTCGAAGTCGTCGGAGACGTCGTCGGTGTCGTCGTCGTCGTTGTCGTCGGTGTCGTCGTAGTCGGTCTTAAGAGGTTTTGCAAACCAAGTTGCGGGTGGGAGGGTGGGATGTTTGCGCGAGCAGTGGAGAGGACAGCTTCAAGTTGAGCAAGTGATTGATTGCACAACGTAGGCTGCACCACATAGGTGGCTCCACCTATGCTCGCAATAGGTTGCCCCACATATGTTGCACAAGGTGTGTGTAGATATACATATACAGATGTATGTACTGCACCACCTATGTTGCCCAAGGTAGATTGCCCTCTATATGTTGCACCACGCTGTTTTCACCAAACCGACTACACTATATTAGCTGCAAGCTGTGTGGTTTCCAACATCTATAGAACATTTTTTATCGCCCCACAGTAAGTTCACCACATAGTGTGTACAACATGTATTGCACACTGTCGGTTGCAACTCGTAGATAGCATACCTGAGTTGTTCCACGTATATTGCACAACCAACACATGCACCAATTTTACCACTATCTGTACTGCAACGCGTTGATGGTTCCACTGGTACCGCATAACCTATTTTGCTAAACACCATGTCGGTTCGGTTCCACGTTGGTTTCTATATGTATACATTTAGAGATTAAGAGTATATGTGGAGCAGAGAGTGGGCGAGATGTTGCGTATTGCCCGCCCGCCCGCCCGTGTATCAAGTTTTGCGTTTTCGTACCCTCAGTATGATAACGTCTCGCCGCCATGCCAGAGTGGTACCTGCGAAGCGTCAGACAGGACAGGCTTCCTGGAAGTAGTATTGAAGAGCAGCCAGCTCATTTCACCCAGCAAGCCCAAGTTTCGATTGTATGTGATGGGCCATCGTATTGCCGCATGTCTGTTTCGTCAACTGCATGTGTTGGGCCATCGTTGGCAGCTGCGGATTATACGCCCCTGTCAGGGCGACAGCGAACGCCCGAAATGAATTGCATTTCACCGCTGTCGATTGCGGCGAAGGTGTTTCCAGATCATTGCGTCGATTATGCTTAACATGTCGGCCTCGGAGGTCCGTGCTTGCTGCCTGCGGCTTGGGGATCGTCAGAAACAGCATCAGGATTATGGTTGGACGTTTCTCGTGCGAGACATGCATCACCAGGGTTTGCGTCCATCGGCAGACGGCTCATGTGTTATCAACTCAGCGGGTTTTATGTTCAGTGTTTCTTCGCCCGATCGGAACGTGCATCCAGTCGTCCTAGAACATCATTGGCACCGAGTTGGTGAGAGCCATACAGCCAAACTCGTTGATTGCGATGGGGCGTCGACGAAGAACCTGTTCTGGGCTTTGAGCTCCCAGAACCTCATCGTCTGGTCATGTCCACGGGTCATGCGCATGGAATACCAAATGGCTTTAGGTCCATCCCGCCACAGTGCCTGGGTTGCGGGTGAAAAACTATTGGAAGGTCGTTGGGATCTCGTGGGGGGCCTCTCGGGGGCCTCTTGGAGGCAGTTTTGAAGCCTCCTCAGGGCAGTTTTGGGGCCTCTTGGAGCCTTTTGGGGCCTCTTGGTCTCTTGGGGCCTCTTGGGGGCCACATGGGGGCCTCCTGCGTCTCGGGGGCTCTTGGGGCCTATTAGCGGCTCCTGGGGCTTTCTGGGAATGTCTTGGGGAGGAAGGATCGGCTTTTCGCCTCGTGCTCCCTGTCTTGGGCCCCTTTGGGGGCCGCCTTGGGGTCCTCTTGGGCCGTCTCGGGCGCCTCTCGGGCCGTCTTAGGGCGCTCTTAGGCCGTCGTGGGGCCCTCTTAGTGGCCGCTTGTGCCTTCTTGGGATGGTCTTGGGGCCTCTTGGGCCGTCTTGGAACGTCGGAAAGCCGAACAGGCGAGAACGCCCAAATCCTTCAAAAACCTAGGGACAATGTTTTTACCTCTTGGGGCCCTCTTGGGAGGCCTCTTGGATGCCTCTTGTCGCGTCTTGGAGGCCTCCTGGGCCATCTTGAGGTCATCTTGGGCGCCTTCGAGCGATCTTGGAGCGACTTGGTGCCCTCTTTGCACACTTCGAGGGCCTCTTGGAGCCATCTGGGTTTGCTGTGGGGCACTCCTGGGCGGGGTAGGCCGACGCGAGCGGTTCCGGCGGACCCCAGGCTGGCCCAGTCCGGCCCCAGTCCAGGCCCTTAAAGACTTTCGGGTCGGGCGAAAGGGGGGGATTGGGAAAGGGGGGGTTACGAAATTTGCTGCATGCAGCTGGTTTCGGCCTCACCGAGGGGCCCATTCCTCGATACATAGCCGCCTCCGGCGCCGGGAGGCGCCGGGAAAATCAGCTACGTGAGCTGATTCTCAAACCTCCCCTTTGCTATCCCCCCCTTTCGCCCGACCCGAGACTTACAGTTCTGGCTGCAGTAGCAGTACAGTGGAGACCCATGCCAGGAAACACCCTGCTTGCCTCCAGGGTGCCCTGTGGAAAGCGCGACGTTCCCACACCAAACATCAATGGACGTCCTGGGGTCTCAGGGCTGGGTTTCTCGCGGAGGGTTTCTTGTGGACCGGCCTCCGCGGTAACACAGCCCTCTCAGTGCTGCACGAGCCTTGGGGGACTCCACTTTGTGCCAGTGGCACGGTGGCGTATTTGGCATTGCACGTGTTGTTGTTGCCACATGTTCGATCTTATCATAGCGACCATGGTCATTGCAGTGCCACTCTCAGTGCGTGTGTTGACGTCGCCCGAGCCCCTTAAGAGTCTCGAGCACAATGATCACACTGATCAGCCCTGCACTCACCTCTGCAATGTAAGCAAGCGTGTCCACTGCAGTCTGCCAGCTTACTGGGGACCTGCCTCCGAAGCCAACTCAACCCAGGAAGACCTCTGAGGCAGCGCCAGTTGTCGCATTTGCTACCTCCTTCTTCGGGGGCGGCCAAGGGGGGGGTGAGGACTAGGGGGGGATGGATATCATGGCGGGGACCAGGATATTTCCTCAGATTTCACGATGCCTCTTATTTCATTACGTCCCCGCTTCCCCCCCTGGCCGCGCACATGCCGCCGGCCATGATGTGCGCCCCCCCCTCTTGGACGCCCCCCTCTTGGCCGACCCCGACTTTGGATCTCGACTTTCCGGGCCAGCAGCACAAGGGGGCTGAAGCAGATGGCCTCGGAGGAAGGTGCGCCCTGGGGCCCCGGAGTCGTCCAGCGAAGAGGTGGGCACGTGGAGCGCGGGCTTCGAGGCCTGCGGAAGGCGCCCACGCCGCGAGGGAGAGTCATCAGGGGAACATGCCATGACGCAAACTTGAAGCCCGGAGGTCCGCGTGGAATCTTTTTTGATCTTTTCTCAACCATCCTGTGGTATTGGGTCTTCGTTTTGAAGAGACGGTCCCCGCGTTCACTTCTCCTCCTCCTCCCACTGCCCCCTCCTCCCCTCTCTACCCCCTCTCCCGACACCCCCACTTTGGCACACCCCTCAAACGTTTCGTGGCCCCATACGGAGCTCCACCGAAGGCCCCGGCGCCACACCCAGTACAGCGCTTCGTGGCCCCATCGGGAGCTCCACCGAAGGCCCCAGAGGGGATGCCCGCATGCGTTCGCCACACCCAGTACAGCGCTTCGTGGCCCCGTAGGGAGCTCCACCGAAGGCCCCAGTGGCGCAGCCCACATGCGTCCGCCACACCCAGTACAGCGCTTTGTGGCTCCATAGGGAGCTCCACCGAAGGCCCAAGTGGGGGTACCCGCATATGACCGCCACACCCAGTACAGCGTTTCGTGGCCCCATAGGGAGCACCACCGAAGGCTCCAGTGGGGGGGCTCGCATGTGTCCGCCACACCTGGTACAGTGCTTCGTGGCCCCATAGGGAGCTCCACCGAAGGCCCCGGTGGGGGTGCCCGTATGCGTCCGCCACGCCTTGTACAGCGTTTCGTGGCCCCATGGGGAGCTCCACCGAAGGCCCCAGTGGGAATGCCCGCCTGCGTCCGCCACACCCAGTACAGCGTTTCGTGGCCCTGCAGGGAGCTCCACCGAAGTCCCCAGTGGGGGTGCCCGCATGCGTCCGCCACGCCCAGTACAGCGTTTCCTGACCCCGTAGGGAGCTCCACCAAAGGCCCCAGTGGGGGTGCCCACATGCGTCCGCCACACCCAGTACAGCGCTTTGTGGCTCCAAGGGAGCTCCACCGAAGGCCCAAGTGGGGGTGCCCGCATGCGTCCGCACACCAGGTACAGCGCTGCGTGGCCCCATAGGGAGCTCCACCGAAGGCCCCAGTGGCGCAGCCCACATGCGTCCGCCACACCCAGTGCAGCGTTTCGTGGCCCCATAGGGAGCTTCACCGAAGGTCCCTGTGGCGCAGCCCGCAGGCGTCTCCCCCACCAAGTGCAGCACTTCGTGGCCCCATAGGAGCTCTACCGAAGATCTCAATTGCGCAGCCCGCATGCGTCTCCGCCTTTGAGTACATCGTTTCGTGGCCTACACGGGGCTCCACCGAAGGTCCCAGTGGCGCAGCCCGCATGCGTCCGCCCCACCTAGTACAGCGTTCCGTGGCCTCATAGGGAGCTCCACCAAAGGTTCCAGTGGCGCAGTCCGCATGCGCCTCCCGCACACAGTACAGCCTTTCGTGGCCCTACAAGGGGGCTCCACCGAAGACCATGCCTACAACTGCGGCATTCACAACTGCACATGGTTGGGTCCTTCGCCAGGCTAATTGTTTTATGCTTGTGTCAATGTTTGTTCCCCCTGGTCATGGCGTCGGGGGGCCCGGGCGCGTCGCCACCAGGTCATTTTCGCGCCGCTGAACCTGGTCCTCAACACGGTCTCCTGGGGCCTCCCCGCCCTCGTCCGGCCTCATGCGTCGCCGCAGTGCCTCGTTTGCTCTCAGCGTCGCCGGGATGGTCCCTCTCTTGTTGGTTGGCATTGGCTTTGGTAGCAAATCTTGGGAGCCTCGTGTACCTTCTCAATCCCGTCTTTCGGGTCGATTAGCATCGACTAGCCTATAGTAATCGATGGGATAGCGCCGATTTGGCGTCGATTCGCGTCGACTAGCGTCGATTCGCGCAGATTTCACGCCGATTAGCGTCGGCCAGCGTCGAAGAGCGTCGAATCGCAAGGCCCAACCAGATGGTACGGGAGGCTCCCGTGAGTTGCCACCGGAGCGATGGCGGCGCATGCAGCTTCCAGGGCTCGCCGTGTCCCGCATCCGTGCTTCTCTTGTTCCCCTGCTCCTCCTGCTCTTCCATGTCTTTCGAATACATCTCCTGGGAGCTGAACTCCAGCATCGGCGAAGACCGGCCTTATCAGGCCTAATCCCTAGTCTAGCGCAATCCCGACGAATCGGGCTTAATCTAACTCAATCCAGAACTGAATCTGACTTGGTCTGGCTTGTGGCGTCCGGATCGTCTTCGATAGCCGTTACTATTTCGAAGACCTCCCAGGAGTCTCCGCCCAACCGTCTTCTTTGCTTCATTTTGTTTCCAAGTTCTGTTGCCGCTGATGCCTTTCCTCCGCACTCCTCCTCCGACCTCTGCTCCCCTTCTTTGCCATTATCCGTACCCTTTGCATCTTTGGTATACAAAGAGCATTCAACACGCACGACGTGGGCAACAGCGGTCACGGACGGGGCTGACCAGTAGCATGACCAGGACAATGCGGGGGGACTTGCCTCAAGCAGCACCGTCCATGCTGGTCCGGTGGGCGGGCCATCGCTTGGTCTGGCCACCTTCGGCAGCGGCTGGGCGTCGTGAGGGAAACACTCGGGCCCCTTCCAACTGCGTTGCCGAAGTCGAGGTCCAGGCCCCAGCAGTTCCATGCCCCCTCCACGGCGTCGCCGAAGGCGAGGTCCAGGCCCAGACCTCCGTGACGGCCAGCTTTCCAAGGATAGGGCCTTTGTCGGTCGTTCCTGGGCGCCGTGACGTGAAACCAGCCTCGCGGGAAGCGGCCGGGAGTGCCGCGGGCCCACATGTTGAGATCATCGGGATTTCGGAGGTCAGAGAGGGTTGAAGCCCGCTGAGGGGCAGCGAGCGCGATCTGTGTGTCTGGGGAGAGGATAATGCTTGTGTAGGACAAGAGCAAGCATGAGCAGCCCAATCGTCGGCAAGAGTAAACCTGAAATCAGAGCTTCTCGCGAAGGGCGGCTGTAAGGATTGCTGTTGACCGATCAAGCGCGCCCGCCGAGCGTACGGGGATCTGGCCCTGGAAACAACGCTGCCCCCCCAGCGACCTTCAAAGGGAGGGGGCGGCATGCAGGCCACGACGGCCTGAAGCAGCTGATGCCAGCATCTACCAAGTGTTGGAGCAGCGCGCCGGGGTGGGCGCTGAGGGCGCCCCTGCTGGCTCGGGAGAGCCCGACGCGAGGGTTCCCCGGGGGGCGCGGGCGCCGAGGGGGCGCCGCGCGAGTCGTCCTCGATGCCTGCGGCCTCGCCTTCGGTGCTCCAGGGCGTCCTCGAGTGGGCGGGTCGGCTCAGACGCTGCGCGGCCGCCGCGCAGCTGCCAGGACGTACGGGCACCTCATCCGCTCGTCTCCAGCCCGCGTGGCGGGAGGGCGGCAAGTGCTGCCACGTTGTGCGCAGCCACTGCGTCAGGGAGGTGCGTGCCGATGGGAGCGAGCACGTGCGCAAGCCCTGGCTGACGCTGCACAGCTGGGCCGTTCGGTCGGGGGGGTTCGCACACGGCCCACGTCCGGATCCTCTGGGCAACCATGCTTGGCATCGCTCGGACGTGTGCGTTTTTTCCTCGGCGAGGACCATCCAGGAGCACCCTCGATCATTTGGCGAAATATCCACGCACGAAACCGAAAAAAAAAACAGGGAATTGACGTCCGAGCGATGGCCAGCATGGGCCTGGCCAGAGAACCTCCGACGGCGCGAGCCCACGCGCCCGTCGCTTCGGAACTGAAGCCGATCCCCTCGGTATGGTGGGTGCAGGCCAAGGTCAAGGTCAACGTCGAGCGAAGTCGCCTGCTGTCGTGAGATACATGGGGCCGAGGTCAAGGGCGGACTTCGACATATGCTGCACGGGTGTGTTGGGTTTCCCTGGCTTTCCGGGGCTGCCGTCTTCCGCGACCTCGGGGACCGCGCAGCGCTTCTTTTTCTCCGTCCGCCAGCCGCCGTCCGCCAGCGCGCCGAAGTGCCATTCGCTCGAGCTGTCCCTTCTCACGCCGTCGTTCCGCATCACGCAGGCGGCTGTCCCCTTCGTGCGAGTGCGCCGTTTGCCCGTCTGCCCCGCCGCTCGTCTCCCACAGCCGGCGCGAGCGACGTGGAGCAGCAGCTGGTGGATGAGGATGAGGATGAGAAGGAGGAGGAGGAGGAGGAGGAGGAGGAGGAGGAGGGGGAGGAGGAGGAGGAGGAGGAGGAGGAGGAGTGGGAGGAGGAGGGGGAGGAGGAGGAGGAGGAGGAGGAGGAGGAGGAGGAGGAGGAGGAGGAGGGGAAGGGGAGGAGGAGGACCAGTGTAAACCAAAGAGTCTTCAACGATGTTGGAAGTAACCCTTCCTCCAAGCTCCCTCTTCATACGCCACTACAACGGTTCTTTTCCATTGAGGGAATTGCCTCGTTAGAAGACAGTCTGAAGACCCAGAATCATACGAAACCATTGTTCTCGGGATTTCAACGCCACGGATCAACCTGATTGCTGCGTCTTGACGATCTGGAATCGTGTCAGAACGGCATGTTGGGGATTTCAACACCGCGAATCAACATAATTGTTGCACCCGCATAATCCTGAACCCTTCCAAAACACCATTTCTGATACGCTGATCATGGGAATCCGCGAAAGTCTTTTTCCAAATCTTATGAGCGAATGTGCGCGGTGCTAAGGCGAGATCCACATGTTGAAAACCACCCGCCCTCAATCCGTTGATTTCTTGCACATGTTTCAAACGAATGTGCGTGGCGCTAGGGCCAGAGCCACAATTTTAAAACGGCCCGCCCTCAATCCGCGAAGCTCTTGCAGAGTTTAAACCATTGTGCGCGGCGCTAAGGCGAGAGCATTTTTTCTTAAACACCCGCCCCCCATCCGTGAAGCTCTTGTACATTTTAAAGCGAATGTGCGCGGCGCTAATGCCAGAGCCACGTTTCGAAAACCACCCGCTCTCAATCAGTGAAGCTCTTGAAAATGTTTAAACGAATGCGCGCGGCGCTAAGGCGAGAGGCACATTTTGGAAACCACCCGCCCTCCATCTGTGAAGCTGCTGCCATTCTTTAGGCTTCAGAATCATAAATGGTGAGGAAGTCTCATGCAAAACGCCGGACCAGCCCTAAAAATTGGCCTTGGGGTGCGACAGGGAGAAATTATTTATAAGGAAAAGGAATGGAGGAGGAGGAGGAGGAGGAGGGGGAGGAGGGGGAGGAGGGGGAGGAAGAGGGGAGGGGGAGGGGGAGGGGGAGGGGGAGGAGTTGGGGAGGAGGAGGAGGAGGAGGAGGAAGAGGAAGAGGCGAAGGATGGGGAGGAGAAGGAGGAAAAGGAGGAAGAGGAGGCGAAGGAAGAGGAGGAGGCGGAGGAGGAGGAGGAGGGCGCTCGTGGCGCGCGGCTGCGCGTGGTGCCGTGGCCTCCGCGCCTCCCGCGGCGCCGTGCCGACAGCAACCCGCGAGGCGGAGGGCCGCGCGGCCCTGCGCCGGCGCAGGCTGCAGCCCTGCGCTCCGCGCGCGTCCGCTTCGGACGGCGGCCAGGTCCACATCAGGCGATCTCGGTAGCGGTTATCTCGGGGCAGGCTGATGCAGAGGCTCCACGACGACAGGGGCCTCATGTGTGCCGCCATCGTGGGGCTGTGAGGCTCACTTTTTCAGGCCCTGGCCCCCGTGTGCCCTGCCCCGTCGCGGCGCGCGCCCGCTCGGCTTGGGGGAGGCCGCGAGGACCATACTCCCGCCAGCGGTGCCACGAGGGAAGGCGGACGAAATCGTGGGAAGGGGTCTGCAGGTAATACTTCGGGGGTGGACAGAACCCCCAACAGTGACACGTCGATTAGTGAATTGTCCGTTTTCGGTTCTCGAGAGGGCGCCGTGGCCGTTACTTTCCAGGTTTGCGCCTGCCAGGTTTGGGCCTCAGGTCGTTTTCACTAAACCACGTTTTACTAAAGGGGGGTCTGTCCATCCCCGATTATCCGATCCCCATCCCCCTCTCCATCCCCTTCGAGGCCCCCACCAGATTTTACCACCCCAGTTGGGGATACACGACCCTCGAAACCCGGAGGGAACGACCCATGTCCCCATCTAGGGGGGTACATTGGCCAGTGAGGCCCGGGCCACGCCGCCGGGGAGGGGGATGGGGAGGAACGATACTCACGATCGCAAACATGGATCAGGGGGGCTTTCGATGGTGTAGGAAGGTTCTGCGCAGGAGTCTCTGCCCCTCACCCCGCCCTTCTTCCCGCTCCTCCTCTCCTCCTCTCGTGCAGGCTCCTCCCTCCTTCCCGTCGCCTTCCCGCCCCTGCCTCGTCACCTCTGCGGCGCCGGTGTTGGTCTCACCTGTCTGGCCCACCGTCAGGGGCTCGCAGCGGATCAAGGGGTCGCGGATTAGCGACGCGCCCCCGACTGCGGTGGAGACCAATGCCAAGAAACACCCTGCTTGCCTCCGGGGTGCCCTGGGTTTCTTTGGTTTCTTTGGTTTCGATTGTTTTGCTATGGTTTTGCTATGGTTTTGCTATGGTTTTGCTATGGAAAGCGAGGCGTTCCCACACCAAAACACGAGGGACGTCATGGGGTCTCAGGGTTGGGTTTCTTGTGGGAGGCTTCTTGTGGTCGAGCCCCTACTGCACACCGCCGCTAGATTCGTCCGCCCTCGCCGCCCTGTCCCGACTTTCGGATGCAACTCCTGGGAGGTCAAACTCTGATTTTGCCCTGGTCAGAAATCCGGCTTAATCCCGCTTATTCCGAGGCCCTCTCCGGCGTAATAGCCCCCCAATGGGGCTTCATCCGCTAGAGCGGCACCAGCCCCCATTTCGGGGAGGGCATCTGACCCGATCCATGGATTTGGCGACCGCGCGCCGAACCCACGGATCGCTAATCCATGTTTGCGCGCCCCCGACCGAGGAGGACAAGGAACCGATAACGCCATCATTTTCACCGCTTTGAGTCTCTCAGGAGGCCTTCGTCGCCACGGTTGGATGTGCGCCGGACTTTTGGTCAGAACGCAGCCCGGGAGAGGCCCGGGGAGTTGCGGTATCGGTACTTCTTGGTTTCCGGGCGAGCGATTGTCGGGGTTTCGACGCCGCTTTTGTTTCAGCACCACGCTGGTCTCGACTTAGATGTGTCGTTTGAACGGAAAACACACAGTTCTGGTATGTCCTCCTGCGTCCCTTGTGAGTGTGCGCCAGGTTTCGGCTCAAGTGGGGAGCTTTGAAATTGCCGCAGCGCGGGTGCGAGCGATCCGCCAACATTCGGCGCTTGCGCGTTGCCCTCGGCAGGACTCTTTTCGACTCCTCGGGCTCGATTCGATTTCGATCGATTCCGATTCGAGTTCGGATTCGATGTCGATTCGATATCGATTTCGATTTTGATTTCGATTAAAAAGATCGGATTCTGATTTTGGATGTTAGGTTTCCAGACGGAGGCCTTACCAGCCTGCTTAGTTTTCCGCCGGTTCGACTTCTCCCGGCTTGGCCGCCGATTTCCGCCGCGCGGATTCATTTCGACCGCCGATCCGACTCATCGAGCTTGGCATCGCTCGGACGTGTGCATTTCTCCTTCGGCGAGGGCCATCGAGGAGCATTCTTGATCACTTGGCGAAACAAACACGCACGAAACCGACAAAAAACACAGGGAATAGACGTCCGAGCGATGGCGAGCGAGTGGACTCTGGGCTCTCCTGCCTCGAGTCGGGGGCGCACCGAGTGGGCACGAGGAGCACCGAGCACAGCACTCGAGCGCGCACACAAATCAAGACGGAGGCTTTCGTCTTGGCATCGCTCGGACGTGTGCGTTTTTTCCTCGGCGAGGACCATCGAGGAGCATCCTTGATCATTTGGCGAAAAAGCCACGCACGAAACCGAACAAAACACAGGAAATGGACGTCCGAGCGATGGCCAGTCGTTGCCATCGCGATCTCAGGGCCCCCGCCAGGAATCCTGAGCGTCAAACAAAGATCCGGCCAACAAAATAGTCCCTGGGAGGCGGTCCAGAGCTCCGAGGGAACATGGACAAACATCAGGAAGTCGGCTTCGTCTTTTGCACCCCTTCCCCGTCACTGTGCCAACGGCGACTCGATGTTGTTCCAGATCCTCCGCGCGCCTCGCAGAAGGCACGTCAGTGAAGGGGACCGTCTCCGTCTCGTCGCAGGCAGGTCGCAGAGGAGGGGCCGGCGAGTGGCAGATGGGGGGGTTCGGTATGTAGCAAATCATGGGAGTTTGGCGTACCCTGTTGATTCCGTCTTCAGCGTCGACTCGCGTCGATTGGCGTCTGGGAGTCGATGAGATAGTAGCGCTGATGTTGCGTCGACTAGCGTCGATTAGCGTCGATCTAGCGTCGATCAGAATCGACTAGCGTCGATTAGTGTCGTTCCGCAAGAGCCGACAAGATGGTATGGGCGTAGCATCGCTCGGACGTGTACATTGTTCCTTCGGCAAGGACAATCGAGGAGCATCCTTGATCATTTGGCGAAAAAGCCACGCACGAAACCGAAAAAAACACAGGGAATGGACGTGCAAGTGATGGCGAGTGGGAGGCTCCCATGAGTTGCCACCGATGGGGGGGCGGCGGGGAGGTCATCGGCATCTTCTTGCTGAGGGACGACCCGCAGGTTGTGCAGATCTACCAGTTCCTGGCCACAACATGCTGCTCGGCCCCGCGCCCGCCGCCACGCCCGCTCACCGAGCGCGCTCCACTACTCCTACTTCGGGCGTGCCCCTCTGCAGGAGAAATGTGCAGTCCAAACATAGGATGGGGACGAGTTGTCGACACTGTTTTGATTATTGTGTGATAGTTTCGACTCGAGCTCTCTTGCAAAACCCGCCTGAAGGAGGACATGCCCGACCTAGCCCTACTCGCAAGTGCCTGCTCGCAAACGCTCGAATAACCTTGGTTTGCCTTTCTATGAAATATATAGCGCAGATCCCCCTCGGCGGCTCCAGACCACCTTGCGAGCAGCTCGTTTGCGAGCAGTGGAGCGCGCTTGTCTATCCGTGCGTCGCGTGCCCTGGCGTGGATATGGATACATACGTTCGCCGCTCGCGAGGGAGGAGGAGGAGGAGGTGGAGGAGGAGGACGAGGTGGAGGAGGAGGAGGGGGAGGAGGAGGAGGAGGAGGAGGAGGAGGAGGAGGAGGGGGAGGAGGAGGAGGAGGAGGAGGAGGAGGAGCAGGAGCAGGAGGAGGAGGAGGAGGAGGAGGAGGGGGAGCAGGAGCAGGAGGAGGAGGAGGAGGAGGAGGAGAGGAGGAGGAGGGAGGAGGAGGAGGAGGAGGAGGAGGAGGAAGGAGGGAGGAGGAGGAGGAGGGAGGAGCGTGGGCCCTGCCCTGCTACCCCGGGGTCCGGCGGCGGGGAGGAAGACGAGGTTTCAGCCGTGCAGGGCGGGCAGGGCAGCGAGGAAGTCAAGCGGGAGGAGTGGGCGAGGCGCTGCCCTCGTCTCGTCGAGGATAAAAAGAACCCTTAATCCTAATATCAAGGGGCCGAGGCGTTAGGGGAACGGCAAATGGCATAAACATAACACTACGCTACGGAGGAACCCCACATACTTCGGCTTAGCTCTGGCCTTAGCATAGCTGACGTGCAACATACGTGGATGATGCTAGATGGTCAAAACAGTGCCACGCCTGCTGTGCCGTGGACGACCAGGGCGGATAGCACCCCCACCCCCCAGCGCACCCCGTTATGGCTTCGAGGAAATGCCGCGCGTGCCATGCCCTGCGAGCCAGCAGCGCATAGCGCCCCCACCCAGCGCACCCCCTGTGGCGTCGAGGAAATGTCACGCTTGCCGTGTCCTGCGCCATGGGCCGCGTAGACGCCGCGCCGAGGGCCACCCCCTGCGCACCCTCTCTCGCGTCGAGAAAGAGCCACGCCTGCCGTGCCCTGCGGCATGGCCCGTATAGACGCCGCGTTCAGGGACCACCGGTTGCGGACCACCTCTGGTGTCGAGAAAGTGCCATGCCTGCCGTGCCCAGCTCAGCTCCATGGCCTGCATAGGCGCCGCGTTCAGGGACCACCTCCTGCGCACCCCTTTTGGCGTCGAGAGCGCGGCCGTGCCCAGCGCCATGGCCCGAACAGACGCTACGTTCCGGGACCACCCCCTGCGCACCCCCTTCTGGTGTCGAGAGAGTGCCACTCCTGTCGTGCCCTTCGCGATGGCCCGCATAGACGCCGCGGTCAGGAACCACCCCCTGCGCACCGCCTCAGGTCTCTGCCGTGACCTGCGACATGGCCCGCATAGACGCCGCGTTCAAAGACCACCCCCCTCTAGCGTCGAGACAGAGGCGCCTGCTGTGCTCTGCGCCATGGCCCGCATAGCCGCCACGCTTGGGGACCAGCCCCTGCGCACCGCGACTGGTGTCGAGGGAACGCCTCTGTGGCGTCGAGAAAGAGGCACGCCTGCTGTGCTCTGCGCCATGGCCCGCATAGAGGCCACGCTCAGGGACCACCCCTTGCGCTCCTCTCTGGTGTCGAGCAAGTGCCACTCCTGCCGTGCCCTGCCCTCTGGGAGCGATCTGGACGCCCTTCTGAGGCAGTTGAGGCCGCCGAGGCCGCCGGCGCCATTGAGTGGTACGCCCCCCTTGGAACCTAGCGACGCGTCACGACGCTTGCCTCTGGAAGCCCACCCGGGAGGCTTCCAGACACACCCCCGCGAGGCATCCTGGCAGCCTCTCCTCGGTTGCCTCTGGCGCGCGGCCCGGCGGCTCGAAGAGGTCACACCACGCGTCAGCGCAGCTCTGACCCCAGGAGGTCTTCGGTTTGGGAGATCCTCCCTCCCGCCCTTCGATTCTCTCGGCGGGGAGCGCAACTCCGCCCCTCCTCCTCCTCCTGCTCTTCTTCTCCTCCGCCCCCTCCTCCTCCTCCTCCTCCTCCTCCTCCTCCTCCTCCTCCTCCTCCTCCTCCTCCGCCCCTCCTCCTCCTCCTTCTCCTCCTCCTCCTCCTCCTCCTCCTCCTGCTCCTGCTGCTGATTGCGAGGGCGCTTCTTCTACCCTCGACCCGTCCCCCCGATCCGCGCTCCCCCCGTCGCGTCGCTCTTCGTAGGTCGTCTCCTCCTTCTGCCACAGGGTCCCTCTTTGCCATCGCGAACAACAGAGCCCCGAAGCCTGATAACGCGATGAAGACATGGCCTCACTCAGGTTTCCGTCTTCGCACTGGGATCATACATTTGGGCGGTTTGGCCCGATACCTTTTGCAGATAAGACCCCCTATCCCCAATGTGTTTGGCCCTCCTACCTTAAAGGTCTCCTCCCAAAGGGTGGAGTGCTTCCTCGCCCCGCGTCGTACCAGATTGCACGTCTGGCTGCTCCGCCACTCCCCGCCTCCCTCCGGCGCGCCTCCGCCGCGCCCCAGTGGTGCTCGGAGCAGTGCGGCGGGGGGATGAGCTGCCTCGTCACTTTCATCGCTTGCAACCTGATCATGGTGGTGTTCGACGTCCTGTTCAATCGTGCGCCCCCTGCCGCAGGGAGGATTGGGAGGAGGAGCAGGAGCAGGAGGAGGAGGAGGAGGAGGAGGAGGAAGAGGGACCAGTGTTAAGCCAAGAGTCATCACGGTGTTGGAATTAATCTCCCCTCCGAGCTCCCTCTTCATAGGCCCCCCAGACGGTTCATTTCCATTGAGGGAATTGCCTCGTTGGAGGACAACCGTTTGAAGATTCTGAAGCATGCCGAAAGATTGTCGTCGGGATTTCAACGCCATGGATCAACCTGCCAGCTGCGTCTTGACGGTCTGGAATCGTACCAGAGCGCCCTTGTTTGGGACTCCAACGCTGCGAATCAACCTAACAGTTGCACCCACATCATCCTGCATCCTTCCAAAACACAATTTCTGGTACGTGGATCATGGTAAACTCCTGCAAAGTTTGAGAACGAAAGTGCGCGGCGCTAAGGCGAGAGCCACATTTTGAAAACCACCCGCCCTCAATCCGTTAAGCTCTTGCAGATTTTGAAAACGAATGTGCGAGGCGCTACGGCGAGAACCACATTTTGAAGAGGAACCGTCCTCAATCCGTGAAGCTCTTGCAAATGTTGAAAGCGGACGTACGCGGCGCTAAGGCGAGAGCCGCATTTTGAAAACGACCCGCCCTCAATCCGTGAAGCTCTTGCAAGTGTTGAAAACCATTGTGCGCGGCGCTAAGGCGAGAGCCATATTTTGATAACGACCCGCCCCCCGTCCGTGAATCTGTTGCAAATATTCAAATCGAGTGTGAGCGGCGCTAAGGCGGGAGCCATATTTTGAAAACCAACGTCCCTCAATCCGTGAAATTCTTGCAATTTTCCAAATCGAATATGCTCGGCGTTAGGGCGAGAGCCACATTTAGAAAACGACCCGCCCTCAATCCGCGAAGCTGCTCCAAAGTTTCAAAGCGAATGCGCACAGCGCTATGGCGAGAGCCTTATTCTGAAATCGACCCGCCCTCCATCTGTGAAACTGCTGTCACTTTTTCAGCTCCAGAGTCATAAGCGGTGAGGACGTCTCGGGCGAAACGCCCGGCCCGCCCCAAACATTGGCCCTGGGGTGCGACGGGAAGGAGTTCTCTGTAAGGAGTGGGAATAGAGGAGGGACGACGAGGAGGAGGAGGCTGTCGAGGAGGAGGAGGGGGAGGGGGGAGGCCACCAGGACGACTCCCCTTTGCGCGCCTCGCCGCGGGAGTCTTTCTGCGGCCCCTGGCCGTCCCCTCGACGGCGGCCACCGCGCCGCACCCTCGGGGCGCGGCACGAGGCTGGAGACGCGGCGAGGAGGGCAGGTTCCTCCCCCCACCGCCCTCAACTTTTCCCTCCCTCCAATCCCCTCCCCCCCTTCCAGGGATCCTTTTCGATCCCTCCGATCCGATTCGGTTCGATCCAGATGGCCTCCTGTTCTCCGATCCGGTTCGGCTTCGGATTCCGATCTGGATGCCGATTCCTCAGTGCAGGCCTACTTGCTTGCCGATTCCTGCCGGTTCGACTTCTCCCGACTTGGCTGCCGATTTCAGCCGATACGATTCATTTCGATCGCCGACCCGCTCTATCGATTCGATTCTGGGCTCTCCTGCCCGTCCCTTTCGCACGCCTTTTCTGTCCCATCCCCCTCGTTATGCCCCCCCCTCCCCTGGGCAGCAGTGCTACAGACAGGAGCTAGTCATCACTGAACAGTCAACGCGCAGTGGTTGCCTAGAGGCTCACACAATTATTTCTCGGAGTGGCAACTGTGAGTTGTCGGTATTGCCAGGCGTGAGGATGCAGCGAGGAGAAGATGTGCGCAGGCAGATGTTCTCTGACATATACGGCTTATATATGTAGTTGCTATGTTCATGCCTCCCAAATTAGGGTCTCGCGCACCGCACGCCCATACGACCCCGACCAGCAGCCTGGAAACGGCGAGCCAACAGGCAGAATTGCCATCGTCGACATCGTTGCGGCGTCCACCCCTGGTGACGTTGAGCACACTTGACAGGCTGAATGCATTTCCTACGAGCATGTCAACGATGGTCTCATATTTCTGGCTGACCAGGAAGCTGCTGTGTTTTATGGAAAGCTACGCAACTCCAGAGAACTTCCCATTGGATTTGCTGGAGGCGTGTCACACGTTCTTGATGTTGTGGGGCGATGTTCATGGGTTTTCCAGGACAATGACGTCGTGCAGGATAATGCTTCCTTTTGTTCGTTGTTGAAGCGCATATTGTCTGATGCGCTGCTCTCTGGAAAGATCATCGCCGCGCAGCATGCGGTGCGCCCGAGGCGAGGATCGAACGGGCATGATGCGCACACTCGCAAATTCATGCCCGATAAGCAGGCAAACCTGGCACATCGGGAACATAGCCATTGGCAAACATTGCGTTGTCCTGGGCATGGCTTTTCAAGGCGCCGGAGTTTGCGTTGCTGTGCAAGTTGTGATTGCCAAGAAGATGCGAGGCGTAACGGAGCAGCGAACCGGGTCTTCAAGCTACGCATTAGAGTGTCATTTGACCGAGTCATCAAGCCAATACCTGTGTGTGGTCAGTATGTTTGTTGTACGCGCTACCATAACATCCCTCCGCACATTCGTAGACCAACAACCCCGAACACCCAATTAATACTTTGTTTCTGCCGATCGGCACATATAGCAAATTCTCTACGATTTGCCGATCGGTTATTCTTAACGTGTTGCGGTCTGAATTGCTAGAGCAGTCGCGGCAGGGTCGTTCCCGCGAGGCCCCCACCCCAACAATTATGGCATCGTGGCCAGTTTGAAAGGTGGCGCCCGAGTTGCCGCGTGCCAGCTCAACGGGAGCCATACAAGCCCACCGACGTGAGTTCTAATCAACCCCATCGTCTTCTCACCCCATTGCACACTCACGGTCCTTGAAGGCCCGCAGTATTAGTTGAGCTTTCCGCTGCCGTGCAATCACCATCGTGTTTTCGTGGGTGATCCTTTCGCTTGACTTCTCGGCGTTAGTCTTGCGCTTCGACTCGTGCCGACGGATTACTGTATGATCTGTGAGGTTATGGGGTTTCACAGTCGCACGCCTTGGCCACGAGTTCCGCTTCAGGCTCCTGCGAGGAGCAGCGCGTCAGGTAGTTCGGCCGCCCCTTTGTTGCGTTCCCCCGCCTCAGCGTTAGGGCCGGATCTGCTGAGGGCGGGGCGCATCGCCCCGTAGTCGCCCACCGATCGCCGATGGGGGGGCCGATGGCCCTTTCTGCCCAGGACCGCTCGGCTTCGCAACGCTTCCGGGGTCCATCGCGGATCTGTCGGGGATTGAGCGCCGCTCTCGGCTCGATATCTCTCCCACTTTGGCTGGTCCCCTCCTGACTTCCCACTCGCCCCCCCGTCAAAACATCATCCGTTCCCATCTTCGTCCTCGTTCGTGGGATGCAGTGCTTGCGAGGTTGCATTTTGATTCGGCGCTGGTGTATCTTTGGACGAAAGACTAGCCCAATCCAGTTGAATCCCGCCCAATCAGCTTAAGCCCGCTTGATCTGGCTTAATCCCGCCTTATCTGACTTAGTCCGGTGTTTACCCCTGCTCAGTGGCCCCTGACATAGTCTTAGTAGCCTGTTTTCGTTCCGACGAAAGGCCTCCCAGCAGTGGCCTTTTCGCCCCTCTTCTTGAACAGCCGCGCCGCGCAAGACATCATCAGCTTTTTCATAGACGGCTTCAAGACGCTCACCGACGGTGCGCAGGCCGCGCCGGGGAAAGGACAGCAGTGAGGGATCGGGGCCCCCCGAACCCGGACCTTGCGGTCCAGGACTTTGAACATTCCACCCAGAGAGACAAAATAATTGAGAGTGCTTCGATCCGCGGCAGCAGTTTTCGCTGCGGTCCAACGTCCCGGTTTGTCCAAGTCTCTCCGTTCAAAGGGTGTCCTGAAAGGACGGATCTAAGGGGAGGGGAGGAAGAATTCGTTGCTGGCGCGTCTTCCGTTCCCTGCGGAGGTAACATGCATATTCGGAGGCTCCGCGCGGATTTCTTGGATCAGACCTGGGCCTCGGGGCGTGCTCCACGCGCCAAGGACCGGCAGTGGGGCGAAGAGAAGGGCCTCTGAAGGGCCCTGTGCACCAGCCCACCCCTGCTTCCGGGTCCAGATCGCGACGCCTCCCGCATTAGTCGGCGGTGGACAGAACCCCCAACAGTGACACGTCGATTAGTGAATTGTCCGTTTTCGGTTCTCGAGATGGCGCCGTGGCCGTTATTTTTCAGGCTTGCGCCCGCCAGGTTTGCGCCTCAGGTCGTTTTCACTAAACCACGTTTACTTACGGGGGGGTCTGTCCATCCCCTGATTAGGGAGTCATGGCAGAAGGGACCCTAGTGCCCCAATCTCACCCATAGGCGGCGGCCAATCCGCGTGCATAAGGACCCCCTGATGCGGAGTGGACGCGCGGGGGGAGGACCGTAGGACGCGGCGAGGAGGAAAACCAGGGGGAGGAGGAGGAACGGTGGGACAGTTAGCAAGCAAGGTCGGCAGCATCCGCATTGTTCCTCTTGCCCACTCGACCGGGGTGTGCGCCAGCAGGCGTGAAATGGCATGCATGAGCGTGAGCATCGCATCACGTCACCGCCTCTCCCGTTCCCTGCATAGGCGTCCCCTCTGCTCACTTCTTTGACCAGCGTGTCCGCTCCCTTCGCCGCCTTCTTCGCTGCCAGAGCATACACGGATACACTTGTCTCTCGTGCGCAGTCTCGGGGCTGGTCGGTCACACCCAGCACCCCCCTCCGGTGTGTTCCACGCAAGTCGTTTTCTGTTGGCCTTCGAATCTTGTTTGTTGAGTACTGTTATACGGAGCGTGTTGCCTAGAGCTGGTTGCAGACGAGCATCGCAAGAACGTGTTGGTTCGCATTCGCGTCCGCGTGATTTGTCCACATATGCACCAGTAGTTGAGCATGCTGAGGTGCTCTTTGGTAACCGTGTGCGTCGACGCAAGCATTGCGTAGGGTACCAGTTCTGTGCTTTTGCATTCCTGTGTTTGCATTTGTGCGATGCGCCAGGTGTCCGGCGCGCCCCGCCGGTACCGACCCCCGCACCTGCGTCCGCTGGCGCTGCCGATTCAAAGTTTGCGTTTGCGCGAAGCTAGGCGTCGGGAGGGTTCTAGGCTTTGTCAATGCTCGCCTGCTGTGGCGCCAGTTGAACATTGCTTTCCCGTACGCGGTGTTACGCAAGGTGGGCTGGGGGCGAGCCCAGACCATCTGGCCACATCGCAGAAGCCAGACTGGAAACGACGGGCGGTAGTGCACAATGTGGCGGAGATGGCGGTGGTCATACCTCCGACAGCTTTGACCAGAATGCCTCAGGCCATGGTGCCTCGGACAGCGTGAGCGTTTCGGCCCCGGCGCGCGGCGACGGAGGTGGCCATCCTTCCGCTCCCTCGACGACGAGAGCGGCAGCGTTTCGAGCGGCACTGTCGGCGTAGTGGGTGGTGTTGCCCGCGGGCGCGATTTCCCAGAGAGTGATATCGGCGCCACCCCAACCTACTAGTACTTTATGTGCGTCGCCCCCCCATGGGGCGACGCGCGCAACAGGAAATCTTATAGCATGTGCGTCGTGGCGGGCGCTTTCTGGCTACACCGCTCGGGAGACGATATGCTACTCGGGTCGATCGCGCGCCTACAAGGAGGCCGTCGAGTATTAGGTTTTCGTACGTGTCTGCGCGCCCCACGGGAGCTGTATGGCGAGTGCCGCTCGTTGTGCCACTGGTTGTTGTCCAGGCGTCAGTGCTTTCGCGGGGTCCCAGCAAGTCTGCGGGCCGGCCCTCCGCGGGCCCGCTTTTCCTGCGAGGGACGTTTTTTTGCCCCAGCAGTGCCTGACAAAAAAGACAACCGTTGTCTGACGTTTGTCATTACAGCGGCATCTTAGTTCGATTCGGCATCAGACATGCTCCCGCCGACGGGCGAAACAACACGTGAGGTGTTCCATCACGTTCGGCCTCGGGGGGCCCTCGCCGGGCCTTGGGACCGTCAAACAATGACTCGGGATGAAAAGCCAGCCTTCGGGACCGCGCGTGAAAGAGCTCAGGACGTCGCATGTCTGGGCTGGGAGGCGGCGCCCGTCGCGGGCGAACAATCGCGCAGGGAACGCGGGGGGGGCCCATTCCATCTTCAGCGCCGCCCGTGGTGCGCGGCGGAGTTGCAGGGTGTCGCCTGGCCTCACTGGGGATGTTCTTGCACGTGTTTCATCATCGCCTCGTTGGCCTGCTCCTCATCGCGGATATGGCGCTGGCTTCACCTTTCGCAATCACCCCCGTCCTTACCATCGCCATCGTCGTCGGTATTTCCACGGTTTGATTTTGAGGTGCCAGTGGGAGATATGCTCATGATGATATGACAGGCGACACGAGTTGTGGCCTTGTTCAACCAGCGGAACGAAAGAGCGAAAGGGAACGCGCGGACCCCAGTTACCGCGCAATGTCGAGCTAGGCCACTGTTGGGGTCAGCATCGGGTTTGCTTGCGCTACTTTCGCTGTATATTGTATCCTTCCCCTGCGTCCCAGTGTCCTGTCGTTGCCACCCCTTTCTTCCGTTGCCAGCAGTGGCCGAACCAGTATTTCGGCTTCGCCTTCGCGCTGTACATGGTCGTGCCCACCTTGTTGGTAGAGTCCACCAGCAGGAAGAAGCATGCGGGAGCGGAGGGCGAGGAAAACGAGCATGCGGGAGCATACGGGAGCGGGACGGAGGTGGAGGAGGAAAAGGACAAACAAGGGAACCTTGACGGGGGTCTTCGGCTTCCCTCAGTATGCTCAGTCGTGCTCTTCAGCCCCATTCCTTCCCTCAGCCCCTCCGCTTTCATATATTTTTTCTCCCAGCCTCTCCATCGATTCGTTCATGTGACAGACAGGGTGACGAGTCGTAATGCGCTCCATTGGTGTTCAGTCTGCTCACTTGTTCCAGCAAGAATTGTGAACGCGCGCCACCGGGTGCCCTCGTAAATGTAAAGGGTGTCTTGTGCTAGCCGGACCCCCCCACCCTCCCCCCCTTCAAGGGGGGGTGTTTTCGACATCCCTTTCCACTCCCCCCAACTCAAATGGGAGGGTGGAGGTTTCGGACCCACCCACCTTCCCCCCCCGTTTCGCCGGAGGTGAGGATTTCGGACCCCGACCCCCCCCTTTTGCGCCGGACTGGGCGAACCGCTCTTTGGGCGCTCTTCGGGTCCTTCTGGGCCGTCTTGGATAGATGACAGGGCCTCTCTTGGGATCCTGAGCGATTGGGGAGTCCTCCAGAGGCATCAGAAGGGCATCGGGCGCGACAAAGAGAGACGGACAAAAATAAGAGATGGCGAGAGGGCTTGACGATTTGGACGTCTCGGGGGGATCCTTTCTGGACGCTCCTTGGCCTTTCGGGGGGATCCTTTCTGGATCCCCCCGAAAGGGACGTTTCTGGGGGGGTCCTTTCTGGATCCATTTCGAGTGTCCAAATCCTTGGGAGGCTCCGTGGCCGCCTCGAGCCGTCTTTGGGCCCACGGGCCGATCATCATCATCATCATCATCATCATCATCATCATCATCATCATCATCATCATCATCATCATCATCATCATCATCATCATCATCATCATCATAACTTAACGAACATCACCTTCCCCGGGAAAATCGTTGATGATCCCCCCCAGACCCCCGATCTTTATTATCCCATAAGGGTTATTATCGTCTGCTTGGGGTTAGTGATGAGATGTTTACCTCATATCCAATGTCGTCGAAGACGATCTTCACAACCGCACATTCAAGTTGGCCAACCATGCGAGCAAAGTACTGCCTTAGCAATGATTGCAGCAGCGGGGAACTTCATTGGCTTGAAAGAGTTTGGCAAAAGATCGGGCACCACTCGGGGACGTTTCTTGACTATGCGTGAGTTCGCAAGATTCCTCGTCGGGATCTACTCCGGAAGCGTGTATCTGTTGGCAGCCGCCACTTTCTTGCCTCGAGAATGATATTGTCGCATTAGGGTTTGCCGCACTATGCTTCTGGAACTGATCTCCCCAGAACCGGCCACAGTTTTGCCTCGGGTATGGTGTTCTTGCCTCAGCGCGTGCCCCCGCCTTGTGACCTCCCACATCCTCATCATCCTCGTCGTCCCGGCAATCGCTGGCTGCGTACTCCCGTCCCTCGTCTTTGTGCTCGTCCTCATCCTCGGCCCCGCCCTGGTAATCGTCCTCCCTTGTCTTTCCTCGCGATGTTGTATCAGGACCCCTGCGTCGCAGGCGATTTATCTACCCCAATCCCCTTGTTTCGTCGGGGATCCACCCCTCGGGGGCTATTCAGACGACCTCTATCCAGGATGGATGCCCCCCTCTTCGTATGTCCCCAAGTTTGGCCTCAGTGCTGGTCCATCCGATAAACCAGACAGGGTCGGGGATTTGGGTCGCCATACCAAACCCAGTGTTCCTGCGCTCAAGGCTCCCGTGCGTGCTCAATCCGTAGCCATTCTGGCTCAAGCCATTGTGACTCGAGCACCTTTGGTTGAAGCTCATTCTAGGTAGCGCCAGCACGTACAGAACGTGAACGACAGCGGCCTCTATTTTGGGTCCGCGCGACCTGCGGGAGCTCGCTCGATCTCCAGTGCATGTGCAGACGCGCCGCCCGGGTTGATGTAGTTCGTCAGGGCCCCATTCGACGTGCGAGGCGTTGATGACGTGCTCCATGCATTCAGGGAAGCCACACGCTTGCGCGCAGACTCCACCGCTTCACTTCACAAGTGGAGATAAGCTCAGAAGGCAATGCTCGAGCGGACGTTGTCTATCCGTGCGTGGCTTACCCCTTCAAAGGAAAGATATTCGTACCCTGGCAGTTGCAGAAACGAGGCGCGGAGCCTTTTCGCATGGACATCGCCACGCACGAAGGATCGGGGGCTTGCAGATGAAGCCTTCTTTGAACACTTCATGCAGCGATTCCGTGCCGAGCCCAATTTCTATTTGGGATTGGTGTACATCCTTGTCACAGGGCAGCCTGTAAGGGAGCGCGCGCCCCAGAGGTACAATACGCAGATTCCATTGAAACAGGCTGTCCAGCTTCTGCAATCTCTGGGCCCAGACTTCGATACTTTACGGTAATGGTGCAAGCATGCGCAAATCATCTTGGCGCTGACAAAGATTGGAGCAACGTGTTGGTTTTTGATTCTCAGGCTTACGCCACACCGCCGACCCCTTGGGGGCCTTTCCGTGGGCGGCTGGGCTGTATCGGGACGCTTTTGGGCTGTCTCGGAGACTTTCATCGCCAATGTGTTTGTTTTAGGGCTTCTCAGCGCCTCTTGGAGCGCCTTTCGCTGCAATTGTGGTGCGGCTGGGTGTGGTGTTGATGGTGTTGGTGTCAGTGGTAGTGATTGCGGTACTGGTGCTGCTTCGGGTTGATGTTCTGTTGTTGTCGTTTTTGTCGTTGTGTCAGTCTCTGCGGTTGCGGAAATTGCTGTGTGCCATGCAAATGTTACTCGCTCGGGTAACCAATGCGGAGGTCCAATTTGCAACGGCGTAACACGTATGGATTTTTTTGTCCAGAATGATTCCGTCTTCCCTGGGACGTATTTGTTCATCCGACATTCGTTTCTGATAGCCCCGACATGCGACAACGGGCCCAAGGCCACAAATGGAGAATGAACGTCGGAAGATGGAAAGTCGAGGCGCAGGAGGAGGAGGACGAGGACGAGGAGGAGGAATGGTCCAAGTATTAAACCGGATTCGGAGGTGTTCGATCGTTTGGCATTTCTCATGGATCTCGGCCTTTGGAGCCGTCGTTCGGTCTCCCAGGCCGTCAAACACGTAGTCACTGTCCGCTCATCCCGCCACCATGCCTGGGTGGTGGGGGAGAGTGTTTGTTCCGGTTTCGGGGGGAGCTGTGGGTTTTTATTCTCTACAGGCTTTCGGTCCACCACGCGACCGTGCCTGCGTTGTGGTGCAAAGTCCTCTGGGTCACGCTTTGTGTTTAATTGCATTGCGTTGGCATTCATTGCCATGGGTACGCTTTGTCCGTGTTCCTTCCTGTCGCCGCTCCCTCCCTTCATCGACTCCTTCCCCACTATTCCTCTCTACCCTCCTCCCGGCTCCCGCCGGTCCTCCGCCGTTCTCCTGTGTTCCCAATTTGTTGTCCCTCCGCGGCCTTCGCCGCAGGCGGTGGCCGGTTCCATGACTCGAAAGCCGCACCATGAAAGCCTGGGGGCCTCTTGGGGCGGAAAGCTCGATTGTTCGGTTCGTGGTCCGCCTCTTGGGCCCCTCTTGGACCGCTCTTGGGGCCCTCTTGGGGCCTTCTTGGGCTCTCTTGAGGCCCTCTTGGGCCGTCTTGGGGCCCTCTTGGGCCGTCTTGGGGCCCTCTTGGGCCGTCTCGGGGCCCTCTTGGGCCGTCTTGGAGGCCTCTTGGACGGTCTTGGGGCGGTCTTGGGGGCCTCTTGGACCGTCTTGGAGCGTAGGAAGCCCGAAAAGGCGAGAAAGCCAAAAACATCGAAAAAACGCATGAAAATCAACGATTGTGGCCTCTTGGGGCTCTCTTGGGAGGCCTCTTGGAGGCCTCTTGGAGCGTCTTGGCGGCATCTTAGGGGCTTCTTGGGCTGTCTTGGGCTGTTGTGGAGGCTTCTTGGGCGGACTCGGAAGCATCTTGGGCCCTCTTGGGCAGTCTTGGAAGCCATCTTGGACTCTCTTGGGCCGTCTTGGAGGCCTCTTAGCCCGGAAGAAGTTCTTGGGGCCCAAGAGGCCCCGAAGACGGCCCAAGATTGGGATCTCGTCAGGAGCCTCTCGGGAGCCTGCCGGAGGCAGTTTGGAGGCCTCTGAGGGGCTGTTTTGGGACCTTTTTCGGCCCTTTTGGGGGCCTCTTGGGGCCCCTTGGGGGTCTCTTGGGGCCTCCTGGGGGCCTCTTGGGGCGGAAAGCTCGATTGTTGGGTTCGTGGTCCCCCTCTTGGGCCCCTCTTGGACCGCTCTTGGGGCCCTCTTGGGGCCTTCTTGGGCTCTCTTGAGGCCCTCTTGGGCCGTCTTGGGGCCCTCTTGGGCCGTGTTGGGGCCCTCTTGGGCCGTCTTGGGGCTCTCTTGGGCCGTCTTGGAGGCCTCTTGGACCGTCTTGGGGCGGTCTTGGGGGCCTCTTGGACCGTCTTGGAGCGTCGGAAGCCCGAAAAGGCGAGAAAGCCAAAAACATCGAAAAAACCAATGAAAATCAATGATTTCGGCCTCTTGGGGCCCTCTTGGGAGACCTCTTGGAGGCCTGTTGGGGGTCTCTTGGGGCCTCCTGGGGGCCTCTTGGGGCGGAAAGCTCGATTATTCGGTTCGTGGTCCCCCTTGTGGGCCCCTCTTGGGCTACTCTTGGAGCCGTCTTGGGGCCTTCTTGGGCTGTCTTGAGGCCCTCTTGGGCCGTCCTGGGGCCTTCTTGGGCCGTCTTGGGGCCCTCATGGGCCGTCATGGAAGCCTCTTGGGCCGTCTTGGAGCCCTCTTGGGCTGCCTTGGGGCAGTCTTGGGGGCCTCGTGGACCGTCTTCGAGCGTCGGAAGCCCGAAAAGGCGAGAAAGCCAAAAACATCGAAAAAACCAATGAAAATCAATAATTTTGGCCTCTTGGGGCCCTCTTGGGAGACCTCTTGGAGCCCTGTTGGGGGTCTCTTGGGGCCTCCTGGGGGCCTCTTGGGGCGGAAAGCTCGATTGTTCGGTTCGTGGTCCGCCTCTTGGGCCCCTCTTGGACCGCTCTTGGGGCCCTCTTGGGGCCTTCTTGGGCTCTCTTGAGGCCCTCTTGGGCCGTCTTGGGGCCCTCTTGGGCCGTCTTGGGGCCCTCTTGGGCCGTCTCGGGGCCCTCTTGGGCCGTCTTGGAGGCCTCTTGGACGGTCTTGGGGCGGTCTTGGGGGCCTCTTGGACCGTCTTGGAGCGTCGGAAGCCCGAAAAGGCGAGAAAGCCAAAAACATCGAAAAAACCAATGAAAATCAACGATTTTGGCCTCTTGGGGCTCTCTTGGGAGGCCTCTTGGAGGCCTCTTGGAGCGTCTTGGCGGCATCTTAGGGGCTTCTTGGGCTGTCTTGGGCTGTTGTGGAGGCTTCTTTGGCGGACTTGGAAGCATCTTGGGCCCTCTTGGGCAGTCTTGGAAGCCATCTTGGACTCTCTTGGGCCGTCTTGGAGGCCTCTTAGCCCGGACGAAGCCCCCCGGACACAAACGGAGTCCTCCGGCCGGGCCCCCCCCCCCCCCCTCCAAATTGACCGGATCCGGCTCCCTGGGGAGGGGTTTGGGGAGGGGGAGGTCTCACACGCCGATGACCCCAAGGGGTCGGCGGATTCCCGTGGTGTTTACAGTGTTTCTCCTTTTCGGGGTGGTCAATCGTGCCCCGATCCCGTTACTCTACATTGAGGACTTACCACTCATGCCAGAGAAGTCCCGCAAGGTGTTGTTTGCCGGATCTTGCCATGGGAGTGAAATTAGGATGAATGTGTTTTCTCTGGTAACCGTTTTCGAGGGAGCTTCAAGTGAGTATGAATGGTTAGTGCACGATTGCGCTCAGAGATTTCCATATCTGATAGTTACATGTATATATCTATGTATCTTTGGACCACATTCGCAACGCCACATGGGTGCTCACTGTGGTAGGAATATTTCCGGTCTCATTTGTTACCTATCAGGCCTTGCAGGTAGGATTTTTGCCGATGATCCCATATGAAATGTTCGCCGACAGATGCAACACGATGACGCACAAGTGGTCTTGTCCGAATTTACCAGGAGATTTCATTTGGTTGCCGTACCAGGACATCGGAGTTCGGTGTCATGATTTCGCAGTGGTGTTTCCCAAGCCTGAGCTAACGAATGTCGTCCATATCATCGACCAAATGAAGGCGGATGATGTAGTACAGCGTTTGGCGATCGCCCAGAAACATAGGCCGTGGCTCACGTCGGTTGGTCTTGTCACGTACATTGAATACATGTTGGGCGTGGCGGAGAAATCGGTTTGATAATCTTCCGTTGCAGGACCTGGCGCATATGAGCTCTGCTGCTCAACTCGGGCCAGGCGAAAGGGGGGGATTGGGAAAGGGGGGTTACGAAATTTGCTGCATGCAGCTGGTTTCGGCCTCAACGAGGGGCCCGTTCCTCGATACATAGCCGCCTCCGGCGCCGGGAGGCGCCGGGAAAATCAGCTACGTGAGCTGATTCTCGACCCCCCCCTTTGCTATCCCCCCCTTTCGCCCGACCCGATCAACGCTGCTTTAGTCAATGTGGGCAGCATGTGTCAGACAAGCACTGCCGCTCGTGACGTTGCCGCTCGCATGCGAAAACTTATGTTTTTCGGCAGCTTGCGTAGCAACGTTACGCCTCCAACATGCCCTTGGAGCGTGGATCATCCTCTTTCTCCTCGCTCCTCTCGCCCTTCCTCTCTTCCTCCACACCCTGCTGACTTTGGGAGCTCTCTGACAGTGCGCTCGTTGATTTTTTGATCGTCCTGAGCGCATCGCAGGCGAAGAAGCACTCATGAATCGATTGATGTTGCGCGCCGGGTGGAACTCGTCCGCCGCGTCGACACCGAATCTGATTTGTGGCGATGCGTGCCGAGTGAAACACTTCCACCGCGCCCGCAACAGCTCTTCTGCCACGTACATTGTGCTGCCATCTGTCCGCAAAAAAGTCTCCTGGGCGTGTTCAAAGATGACGCGGCTTGCGCCCAGGAAATGACTTTGGCCGCACGATGCGAGGCCATGCCTGACACTAGGCATGAGCGCGCTCCCCCTTCTCCTCGCGAGCGGAGGTGTAGCAGTAGACGTCGGCACCTGCGGGATGTTGTGGAGTCTGAAGTCCCCAACCATCTTGTGGTGTCGGGTCCTCGTCTTGACTACTCATCGCCCCGTTTTCTCATCCTTCCTCCTTCTCCTCCTCCCTCCTCCCCCTTCCTGCCTCTGCTTCTGCGCCCCCCTTCACATGTTTCGTGACCCCAGAGGGAGCTCCACGTAAGGACTGATGCCAGCGCCCGCATGCCTTCTCACCATCACGGCGAACCTCTCACACTTTTCGGGGATCCAGAACGGGGCTCCACTTGAGGCTCCAGTGCCAGGCCCTGCATGCTGTCTCCACCATCTAGGCACACCACTCGCACGTTTCGTTGCCCCACATGATGAGGACTCCACCGAAGGTGGCCCCGCTCGGTACTCGCAACTGCATATTGTTATTTTTTTCGCCAGGCTGATGCTTCCTTGTGTGTGTGTGCAGGGTGGCATGGGCGGATGCACGCCGCTACAAAACCTGCATGGGCTGAGGGGGCCGCCTTCCTTTCCTCTCCCTGCGCGGCTGTCGCTCGTCCTCCCTCCTGCCCCCTGCAGTGCACCGACTCCCCTGCACAGCAGCCCCGTGCCCGCCCGACCGACCTGCGCGAGAGCGCCGGGACCGCGACGAGAGCAGCACGCGCAGTGCGGTCTGAAGCTCGATGCCTCACCCCCAGCCGTGGTGCGCCGTGCGCCCCCTCTCTCCCCCCCCACACCCCCCTGGCACCGCCGCAGGGCTGCGTGTGCAACTCGCAGGTTGGATGCCGTGCCCTTTTCGGCATCGCTGCCCGCATTCTATGCACTTGGCATCGCTCGGACGTGTGCATGTTTATTTCGGCGAGGACCATCGAGGACCATCCTCGACCAACGAGCAAAAAAAACACGCACGAAACCGACAAATGCACGGGAAATGGACGTCCGAGCGACGGCGAGTGTGCAACTTGCAGGTTGGATGCCGTGTCCCTTTCGGCATCGCTGCCCGCAGTCTCTGTGCACGTGCCCAGCTGCTGTCGCAGCCCACGGCTTGACCTGACCTAACCGTACCAGCCTCGAACGTATCCCTACCCCTAAGATTGACATGCCAAAAGGCGATGACAATCATAGGGATTCGCCCTCAAAAAATAAGGGAATCCCTAAGACTGGCATCGTGATGAGGAGGTGCCCAGCATAGGGATGGGGATATGTTCCAGGCTGGTAATAACCTGACCTGTCGGGGCGCCTGGTGCCCGCCACGGGCACGTCGAGGGCGCGGCGCCCTCCCGCGGAGCGGCGCGCGCAGGTCGCGAAGCTCGGGGCCTTCCTAGCGGAGATCGTGGGTTCGTGGCACGGCTACAAGGCCCCGCGCGCCTCTGCGCGCTCTCGCCGGGACGAGGGGAGGGATGGCGACGATGACGATGTTGATGGCGGTATTGATGGTGACGATGGTGGTGGTGATAATGTTTTCGCGTGACGACAGCGACGACGATTCTGGTGATGTTGATGATGATGCTTAGTAGCCGATGCTGATAATGATGAGGATCATATGAATCACGATGATGACGATGATGATGCTTATGACGATTATGCTGATGGTGATGACAATGATGATGGTGATGGCGATGGTGATAATAATGGCGATGGTGGTGGTGGTGGTGATGATGATGATGATGCCGATGATGATTGCTGGGAACTGCTTGGCATTGCTTGGCACTGCACTGGCAAACGGGGGCAACACTGGGGAACGCCTCAAGGTTAACCCATGGCGGCCGCCAATTCGCTTCCAAGATGGTCCGAGGGGATCTTTGCACGGATGGTACCCTTGGTTGTTCATAGTCTTCAGGTCTATGTCGGGAGAGAGAGGGTCTTACGATGGATTCGTCTTAGGGTCAGGCTTTGGAGGGACCACAGGCCCCTCAGAGGTCCTAAGAGCGTACCAACAGGCCAAGTGGAAGCTTCAGAGGCACCATGGACAGTCCCAAGAGGACCTCAGTAGAGCTCCAGGGTGCTCAAGAGGATCCAGAGAGGGCCTGGCGACGCCCTGCTACACATTCACAACGGGCCCAATAATCCGAGACAGCTTCAAATGGTTACCTGCGTAGCTTTTTCAAACGTCCATGAAGCGTTCTGCCTGCAGCCTTTTTCGTGATTGTATATTCGATTCGTGCTGTATTTCCCGCTAGCCTAATGTGATTTGGTCATCCATGCTGTTATCCATGAAACGTCCTTGACGAATGCGCTCGGCTACAATCTTCGCGCGCGCTTGACGAAGCTCGCGCTCGGTTCTGGTCTCCCTCTCCCGTTCTCTCGTTCTCTCGTTCTCTCTCTCTCTCTCTCTCTCTTTTGCTCTCTCTCTCTCTCTCTTTGTTTTTTCTCTCTCTCTCTCTCTTTTTTTTTTCTCTCTCTCTCTCTCTCTCTCTCTCTCTCTCCCCTCGCTCTCTCTCCCTCTCTAGATTTGTACAGACGTACATATGCCGACATGTGCTCATGCATGTTTGCAGTTATGCAGATGTAGCTGTCGGTGTACATGTATGTGTGTATGCATATGACAATACATAGGTCCGTGTAAATGCATGTGGATACGTGGATGCCGATGTATGTGTACGTGTGAATGTATGTGTGTATGTGCATGTGTATGGTATGTATTGTACACGCGTATGTGTATGTATATGTATACGCAGATGCAGTGTATATACACTTGTATATTCCATGTGTAGCAATCGGCAGATGTATACACATGCGAACATGTATGTGCAGATGTACCTTATATAGTGTGCATGGATGTATGTATAACTGTGCACGTGCATGCATATGTATGTGTGTACATGTATCGTATGCATCGGTGCACGTACATGTATGCATATATATATATATATATATATATATGTACATGGGTATGTATATGTGTATGCACATGTATACGTACATGTATGTGTATGCGTACGGGCATGTACACATATATATATATACGTATACGTCTATGGGCCTGTCAATGTATATAAGCAGATGCGCGTCTACATGCATGCGTATATGTACTTGTATAGTTATATGCATGCGTATATGTATACGTGCATGCATATGTATATGTAACTTATATGTATAGGTGAATGTTTATATCTATAGATAGATAGTAGCCTGGCGACGGGGGCTGGGGGCCCGGCCCATGGACCTCGGTCCTCCATGGCCACCCCGGGGCCCCAAGGGCCTCCCCAGATTGCCCTAAGGCGGCCCGAAATGGCTTCCAGACAGCCCTCGAGGCCGCCAAGATGAACCCATAGCGCCCCGAGACAGCCCGAGATGGCTCCAAGTCGCTTCCGAAGTCTCGAAGACGAGCCCAGACCAGACGGTTTGAGAGGCTCCTCCGGAGCGCCCCAGGAGGCCCAGATCGCCAGAGTTCTGAAGGAACGCGCGCATGTTCGGCATGCTCGCGTTTGCGGGCTGAGGCGCCCACGACGGACGGAGAGGCCCGTGAGGATGTCTCGTGACGGCCCAAGGGGCCCCCAAAACGTCGAGACGGCCCAGGAAGCGCCCAAGATGGCCCCAGCCCCAAGGGGCCAGAAGAGAACCTCCACCCATAGAACCTGAAAGGATGGCCAAGAGAGGTCCTCGGGCGCCCTCTTCGGGGTGAGGCTTCCACGATGTCCCCAGGGCCTGGGGCCCTCCTGAAGACCTCCCGGACCCTCTCGCGAGGCCTCCGGACGCCCCCGAGAGGTCTTGGACATGCCCAAGGATGCCCGAAACACGCCCCAGGATCATCTCGGAGATCCCCTGAGCGTCTTGCGAGGCTCTCCTCCCCCGTCCGATGATTCTCCCGGCCACTGCCTCCACTATCCCTCCGAAGTTTGCGTCTCTGCGGCTGGCAGCGCGCCACGACGCGCTTTCCTCGAGGGAAGGACACGTTCATGGCCAGCTAGGTCGGCGACTTCAGAGGGGGCTAGATCCTCGTCGTCCAGGAAGGGGAGGGAGCGGGAGGGAGGGGAGAACAAGGAGGAAAGGGAAAGCAGGGATGAGGACAGCGAGGGGGAGGAGGGGGAGGAGCAGGAGGAGGAGGAGGAGGAGGAGGAGGAGGAGGAAGAGGAGGAGGAGCGCGGGGAGGACGCTTCAGCGATGCAGGAAGAGGCCCTCCCGTCTTCGGATCCCTCACAACCCATTCGAAGCATCATTTGCAACCCCAGGAAGCCCCGTCGTGAAAAATGAACGACACGTGTGCCCTCCGTGCAGGCGGAAGCCTGAAGCCTCCCCAAGAATCCCCGAATCAATCCACACGAGGGCGTCCACCTGTTACCTGCCCTTGCTCCAATACCCTATCCATGCCGTCTCATTCCTCACACCCGAACGAGTAGCTTCAAAGGTTGTCCCTGCCCACATTTCAACCGTCGTCACGCTCTACCCCCGAGTCTTTCGCCGACGACGCCGGCGCTGCCGCCGCCGCCGCCGGCGCCGCCGGCGCCGACGACGCCGACGACGACGACGACGAAGACGACGACGACGACGACGACGCCGAGTCGACGCCGACGCCGACGCTGACGCCGCTGCCGACGCCCCTGCCGACGCCGCCGCCGACGCCGACGTCCCCGACGCCGCCGACGGCGCCGACGCGGCCGACGCCACCGACGACGACGACGACCCGCAAGGCCTACAGGGAAGCCCAGAACTCCGGGGTCACCAGCTCCGGCGGCGACTGGGGGCGATCCTCGGCGCCTACCCCCTGCCCTGCCGTGCTTGCCGGCGGCAGCGGGGGGAGCCAAGGGAGGCAAAGACACCCCGACCCCGATGAGTGTCAGGAGGGAAAGCAACACACAGACACAATGAATCTTCGATTCCCCAGAGAATATGGGAAAATATGGGAAGTGGGGGGGAAGACAAAAACCCAGAACTTCTGGGAAAATATGGGGAACCTTTTTATTTGTGTGCATTTCTTTGTTTGTCCTGGGGCCCCTTCCGAGTGGCGTGCTCTAAACGACCCTGGGCGTGTCACAGACGGCACTGGGCGATTGCCGAACAGCTCCGTCCTGCTCGATTCCCCCCCCTTGGGTAAGTTTACTGGGCCCGCGAGGGCCGCGGTTCGGCCGGCTCCGAGCTCGGACCAGGTCTGCGGGGTGTTTTTGGGGGCGGCAGGGTCCTTGCGAGATCCTCGAGCCGAGGGTCCCGAGTGCTCCAGGCGGCTCCGCCCCCCCTTGATGGGTACAGTCGGGGCCCTGAAGAAGGAACCCTTTTGGTGGGGGAGGGGCTCCGCGTTCCCTAAGTGTTTCACAGCTTGCCTCAGGCTTTCCTTATGTTTTTGACCGGAAATCCAAGGTTAACTTATGGAAAAAAGGGGCCTCGTTCCTTATTTAGGGTTCCTTAGGTCAACGCCCCGACTGTATGGGTGTGATGAACGGCTTCGCGTGTCGGGGCGCTTCTTCGGAGGGTGGATTTTTTGCTCTCTGGGGAGGGTGAAGGAGCGAGGATCAAGGAGCCAACATGGAATGAGCAGAAATTCTCTGAAGCCCGCGCGGATATCTTTGATCGGCGCTGCGACCCCCTCCGTGACGCGCGGAGCGCGCCTGGGGCCAAGCGGGAGGCGCCGCCAGGGGGGGCCCAGCGCAGGTCCAAGAAGTCCGCGCGGAGCTCCGAAGGTTTGTTCTTCTGTCATGCCTGGCTTCTCGAGAGGACGGCCCAGATCCGAAGGCCTGCCCCTGGGCAAAGGGTCGGGGCCCCTGGGGCCGCGGGCAGGCCTGGGACGCGTTCCCAGACGTGCCCGGGGCAAGCCCGGGGGGGGGCGTCCCCAGGCACGGCCGCTGGCACGTCCCCACGCGCACGCCCAGGGGCACGGCCCTTGGCACGGCCCCGCGGGCCCCGCCCCCCGCCCCCTCCGCCCCCATGCCACAGTTGGGCACGCCCCCAGGCGCGCCACCGGGCACGGGTCCCAGGCGAGCAGGAGGAGCAGGGTCTGCTGGAGGAGGAGGAGGAGGAGGAGGAGGAGGAGGAGGAGGAGGAGGAGAAGGAGGAGGAGGAGGAGGAGGAGGAGGAGGAGGAGCAGCATCAGCAGCAGCAGCAGCAGCAGCTATGAGAACAAGGATGAGGGCCCTCGTCGGCGGGCCAAAACGAGGGGGGGGAGGAGGAGAGGACGAGGAGGAGGAGGAGGAGGAGGAGGAGGAAGAAGAGGAGGAGGAGGAGGAAACCGAAATGGAGGAGGAGGGGGGGGAGGAGGAGGAGGAGGAGGAGGAGGAGGAGGAGGAGGAGGAGGAGGAGGAGGAGGAGGAGGAGGGGATGCTGCGTTCGACGAGCACTATAGCCGACAGGAACCAGGAACCAGGACGAGCAGGGTGAGTCGCAAGCGGAAGAGGAGAAGGAGGGAGAAGAGGAGGAAAAGGAGGAGCAGGAGGAGGAGGAGGAGGACCAGTGTAAGCCCAAGGCGTATCAACAATATTGCATTAAACCCTCCCTCCAAGTTCCTTTTTTTCATATGCTCCCACACGGATTCAGTTCCACTGATGGAAATGCCCCGTTGGACGACAACCGTCAGAACATCTGGAACTGTGCCAGAACGGCATTCTTGTGATTTCAACGCCGAGAAGCACCGGTATTATTGCGTGTCTTCACGATCCGAAATAGTGCCAGAACGTTTTTCCTGGGACGTCAAGACCGCGAATCAGCGTGACTGCTGCACCCTGACATTCGGACATCGTGCCACAATATTCCCAACCATCCTGTGGTGTTGGGTTCTCATTTTGAAGGGACGGTGCCCCGCGTTCCTCTCCTCTCCTCCTCCCCCTCCTCCCCTCCCTCCTCCTTCTTCCATGCGCTTCACCCACCCAGCACAGCGCTTCGTGGCCCCATAGGGAGCAGGCAGGAGGCACTTATGCGGAAAAGGAACGGAGACCCACACATCCGACGTCTATTTTGTTCCGAGACACGGGCCCCCGACCTCCCGACCACTTCCCCGGGACCGGCTTCTCATCCCGAGTCGTTTTTTGGTTGTCCCGGGGCTTGGCGAGGGTCTTGAGAGGCCAATTCTGAAACATGCCAGTTTTGATTTGTTCGGGGGCGGAAAAGAGGGGGGTGATGACTAGGGGGGGGGATATCATGGCGGGGGCCATGATATCAATGATATAGCGCCTCTTCTTATTTACGTCCCTGGCCCCCCCGCTGGGCCGCGCACATGCCGCCGGTCATGATTTGCACCCCCCCCTCTTGGACACCCCCCTCTTTGCCGCCCCCGAGTCTGGGGAAGCCAGAGGAGGAGCAGTAGGAGGAGCAGCAGCAGCAGGCATGAGGACGATGATTAGGGATCGATATCAGCGGCGGCACCATATTTACGTCCCTGGCCCCCCCGCTGGGCCGCGCACATGCCGCCGGTCATGATTTGCACCCCCCCCTCTTGGACACCCCCCTCTTTGCCGCCCCCGAGTCTGGGGAAGCCAGAGGAGGAGCAGTAGGAGGAGCAGCAGCAGCAGGCATGAGGACGATGATTAGGGACCGCGTCGATACGGTCCCCGCGCTCGCGCGCCCAGGGCGGCTCCGCGCTCAGCGGCGGCACCATGCCGGTGGGCCCTCGCCGCCGCTGCCTGCGGCGCCCCCCCCCCCCCCCTTTTCGGCGAGGAGGAGTGTCCTCGTAGCCGTCGCCCTGCTCCTCAGAGCCCTCCTCCCTCCCCCTCCTTCACGCCCCCACCTCCTCCTCCTCCTCCTCCTCGTCCTCCTCCTCCTCCTCCTCCTCCTCCGCCTCCGCCTCCGCCTCCGCCTCCGCCTCCGCCTCCGCCTACGCCTACGCCTACGCCTACGCCTCCTCCTCCTCCTCCTCCTCCTCCTCCTCCTCCTCCTCCTCCTCCTCCTGCTCCTCCTCCCGCCCCCTCCTGCACCCCCTCCCTTATCCTCCTCTTCCCCGACCTCCCCCCTTCGCCCTTTTCCCGTGCGCCTGCGGCAGCTCGCGGTCAGGGGCGGGGGTCGGCGCGAGGGTCGTGGGGCCAGCAGGAACGAGGGGACCATGCGCGGGAACGGCAGGAGGAGGGAGGGCAATGAGGAGGAGGAAGGAGGATGAGGAGGGTGAGGGAGGCACTGTGCAGGTCCATGCCATCACCGCGGCTTGATATTCCCGCCCTTGCCGGCTTCCCCCCGCTTGTCCGGTTTCCCTTCGCCTTTCCTGTGTGCAGTAAGGTGGGGTGATAACAGTTCGATGTTGATATTGCGCGTGCGTTTTGGATCAGTGTCCTGCCCGATCGCTGTGTCAAGACGCAGCGGCCATACCGCCACTTTCTGTGCGACGCAAAGAGGAAGGAAAGAGGAGGGAGTGCAGGAGAGGGGAGGAAAGAGGATGGAGGAGGAGGCGGAGGAACTGGAGGAGGAGGAAATCACTGATGAGCATGTTCGTGCCACGGACAGCCCCAACCCGCAAGTCTTCTACCGGGCCTTTCGCTTTTGCGAGGAACCATTTTGCGGTTCGAAGAAGTTTGTTGGAGACGGCGTGGTGGTGCCAACCCAATCTTAGATGCATTGTTTGGGAGTCAGGTTGCTTCATGGACATGGACGGAGCCGGCAAATGTCGACATTAGAGCAGGCAGGGAGGTCGGGTTTGTCACCATCCCACCAACGCGTGTTTGGGAGATTTTATCGGGGGACCATCGAACTGTGTGTGTTTGGAGCGGTCGTTTTTCAGGTTCCACGGGGACGACCGTAATTACGGAACACAGGGGAAAACTAGCTTACCTCCCCCAACAGAGCGGTCTTTCCAACGACTAAGTGGTGGAATCTTGCGCTGAAGGCGTCATATGATTTGCGTTTGGCGGTTTCTCTTTTAGAAGCAGGAAGGATTGATGAGCGGGGAGGGGGGAGGAGGAGAGAAGATGAGGAAGAGGAGGAGGAGGAGGAGGAGGAGGAGGAGGAGGAGGAGGAGGAGGAGGGGGCATTCTCGCGCGTCCGCCGCGCGCATGTCCAACTCCTTCCAGAACGTTCACCGATGCGAGAACGCCGTCATCGTCGTCGGCGTGATCAGCATCGGCGCCGTCACTGGCCGTGCCGTCGTCGTTGTCATCATTGTCACCAGCATAGCTACGATCATCGTGTCTACCGTTATTGACGTTGCCATGATATCGCGCCCACCCAATTCAAGTCGCCGACTGGCATGTGAGCTGCCCGCTGGGAAGTGCCAAGCGGTCAGCGCTACCGCGGCCGCGTCGGCCGCGCCAAACTAGCCGCGCTAGCCAACACTAGGCACTCATCGCAATCGCCTACGCATGGGTTGTGCAAACCAATTTGCCGGTGGGTGGGTAGGATGAATGCGCAAGCAGTGGACTTGATAATTGTGACTTCAGCAAGCACACGGCACCGCGTAGATTGCTGTGCTGTGCACCGCGTTGATTGCACCACACCGTCTGCACCACATAGCTTGCACCACGTCGATTGCACCGCATATACTGTACCACGTGCATTGCACAACGTACTCTGTTTCACGTAGATTGCACAAGGCAGATTTCCATTTCGAAGAAGGGAACAGGTTCTACCACCTTCCCGCCCTGGAACCAATGTAAAACACATGGGAATGTGACCCAATGTCCATCCAACCTGTGATATCACTTAATCCCAGCCAAAGCGGTACCGGTTCCCCCCGCCATCCTTTGCAAAACGTACTAGGCGCGGGCTTTCGTTTATCAAAAGCCAGAAGTTGCCAATCATATTTTTCAATCAAAGGGACGAAGTACGCACGTGCGCGTCGTTGCGCGCGCATGGTGACATCCGTCAAGAACCTTTTGGTTCTCAAAGATTTGAAAATCGAGGTCCCAAAAACATACAAAATCATGGGGTTTCGCAACACGGATGTTTTGAAAAAGCTTGCGCGCGCACTCTTGCGAAATGCCAAGAAAACCATAGGTTTTTCAATATGTTCAACAAATACTACCAAACGGGCTTCGCGCGCGCATGTAGAATTTTTTCGAACGCCCTTGCGCGCGTGCCGTCACGAGAGTCCTTTGCAACACATGGGACGAAGTGCAGACGCGCGCGTTGTCGCGCGCGCGTGCCGAAATCCTTCAAATAACTCTTGGTTTCGGAAGGATTTCAAAATCGAGTGTCCCAGAACCAAGCAAAGACACAGCGTTTCGCAACACGGATTTTCAACAAAAGCATGCGCGCGCGTTCTTGCGTCGTCGTCGTCGTCGCCGCCGTCTTCCCTCCTCCCTCGTCGTCGTCGTCGTCGCCGTCGTCGTCCTCTGTCTTTCCTCGTCGTCGTCGTCGTTTTGGCGTCGTGTCGTTTCCGTCGTCGTTGTCGCCGTGGTCGTTCTTCCTCCCTCGTCGTCTTCGTTGGCGTTTCGTCGTTGTCCCTCCTATTTCGTCGCCGTCGTCGTCGACGTCTTCCCTCCTCCCTCGTCGTTGTCGTCGTTAGCGTCGCCGTCCTCCCTCCTTCGTCGTTCGCATCGTCGCCGTCCTCCCTCCTCCCTCCTCCCTCGTCGTTGTCGTCGTTGCCGCCGTCGTCGCCCTCCCTCCTCCCTCGTCGTCGTCGTCGTTTTCGTTGGCGACGTCGTCGTCGTTTTCGTTGGCGACGTCGTCGTCGTCGTCATCGTCGTCGTCGGCGGCGTCGTCGTTGTCGTCGTCGTCATCGTCGTCGTCGTCGGCGTCGTCGTCGGCGTTGTCATCGTCGTAGTCGTCGGCGTCGGCGTCGTCGTCGCCGTCGTCGTCGGTGTCGTCGTTGTTGTCGTCGTCGTCAAAGTCCTTGGAGACGTCGTCGGTGTCGTCGTAGTCGTTGTCGGCGGCGCCGTCGTCGTCGTTGTCGCTGTCGTCGTCTGCGTCGGTGTCGTTGCCAAGTGCCATTTGGTACCCACCGTCACGGTCTTGAGAGCCAAGTTGCGGGTGGAAGGGTGGGATGTTTGCGCGAGCAGTGGAGAGGACAGCCTCAAGTTGAGCAAGTGATTGATTGCACCACGTAGATTGCACCGCGTATCTATTCGAATAAACCCGTAGGAAGCCTGGCGGGTTGGGGGCGGGCCCCGGCCCCGGGAGCCGCCCGAGGAGCAGGAGGAGGAGGAGGAGGAGTGCGACGACGACAAAAACGAAGGCACGAGCACAGAGCGGGAACGAACGATGAGGCGACAGGGGAGCTCGCCCTCTCCCCGAAAGTTGGCGCGGGACCAGCCCGACGCGCCCGCGAGAGAGTCCAGACCGGCGCCGGGGCCGGCTCCCCAGTTCGCCTGCCCGGATCGGGGTGAGCGCCGCATTGGGGAGGCAGGAAGGGGGCAGGGAGGGCGAAGGGGTGGGTGGGTTCGGTGGCATATCGTAGGAGCCTGGTACACCCTCTCAATTCCGTCTCTAGCGTCGATCAGCACCTTGGAGTCGGTGAGATAGCGCCGATTTAGCATCGGCGTGCGTCGGTTTGCGCCGATCTGGCGTCGATTCGCAAGAGACGACAAGATGGTATGGGAGGCCCCCATGAGTTGCCACCGAGTGTGAGGACCCTGCAATCCGGGTGTTGCTAGTTCTTTCACACCGGGCGTGCTCGCCCAGTCTGTAGGGCCTCAGGGCCATCACAGATCGGCCCGGCTCGACAGGTGCAGCAGAAGGATGGGGTCTATAGGGAGTTTGTCGTGCTTGTCCGCGATGTGTTGCAATCTCTTCTCAAGCAGTGGCGAAGCGTCCCAGCGTGCCCATAGCCCCACCAAACAAAGGTTCTAAGAACCTTTTGTGGTCTCCGCGAAATGTTCTTAGAACATTTCTGGCTAGTACTGTCTTGGTTTAACACATCGGGAATATGTTATGAGAACATGGTTTTCGTTCTTAGAACATTTCTGGGTTCTAAGAACATTTCGTGGTAGGACTATAGGAATGCCGGGACGGTCGGTTCCTGCTCAATCTCCGCAGCTTCGGATCTCAGGGGAGAGGGAGGGTCAGGGGAGGAAGAGGGCTTGACACTGCTATCTCTGCCTCGCGTTCGTCTTCTAGGGCCCCTCGGGCGGCCCTCGCCGCCGCGGCCGGGTCCGCCTCGAGGTGCTGGTCAGCACGCGCCCGGGAGCAGGTCCGGGGAGCAGCAGCAGATCATGAGGAGTCGGGGGCGGAAAAGGGGGGGGTGATGACTAGGGGGGGATGGATATCATGGCGGGGGCCATGGTATTTCCCCAGATCTCATGGCGCCTCTTCTTATGTCATTACGTCCCTGGCCCCCCCCCGCTGGGCCGCGCACATGCCGCCCGTCATGATTTGCATCCCCCCTCTTGGACACCCCCCTCTTTGCCGCCCGCGAGGAAGAGGAGGGGGAGGGAGAAGATAGGATAGTATAGGATTCGGCATTGCGCGTGTGGGGGGTGATGTGGAAATCTCCACAGCAGTACACTCGTGCCTCTACTGCCTCGAACGATCGCACATCTATTCTACGAGGCTGCGGGCAGCGCGCGCCGTGCAGCATTCGACACAGTTCGTGACCAGGCTGCAAGCAATACTACAACGCACTCGCAGGGTGGGGGGGGCACCCCTCCGGCCCCGTGGGGCCGAAGCCTCACGGCACTGCGCGTGCCAGGCTGGCACCCCGAGGCATGCGCCCAACCCCAACAAGAACAAACCCGTACGCGCGTATGCAGCGCAGCACGGGTTCGAGACCACCCCGGGGGCCGCTACCCCATCAACAGACACTCGGGCCCCGCAGGCGTCCGACTGGCTAGCGACGCGCTGGCAGCACCCAAGGGGCCTGAGCCCCGAGCAGTAAGGTTGGGGTGAGAGAGTGCACAGGCGGACGCTCCTGCCCTGTCGAAGCAGGTGGGGAGGGGCCAGAGGTCTCAGAGAAGGCCGCACAGTGTTGGCGATTTCGGAAGTTCGATTCTAGGGCTGCTCGAGGGCCTCGTCTTCATCGGTACTATTTGATAGGCCTCTCCAAAGTGCTTCCCCGTGGAAGGTAATTTTTTGGGATCGCTCCCCCAATGATTCCTCTGAGCTGTAAGAAGCAGTGCCATCGCAGCTGCGAGCTCCACATGTTGCAAGAGAACGTTCCCCGTGTCTCGCCAATGGCCCCGCTGCGGCACGGCATCGCGCTCCGATCTGCAGTTTCTGTTTTTTTGTTTGTGAGGAGGCTGGAATAATGGTGGACGTTGAGGGGAAGGGGGGAAGAGGGGGCCATGGGCGAGGGTAAAGGGAAAGAGGCGGCGGGGAGGGGGAGGCTGACTGGCTGGCTGGCTACTCTGTGCATGACCAAGTCTGAATTGTCAGCTAACCTCCTTCCCAAGGAGGACAGGAGGGGGAAGATGAGTAGGAACAAAAGAGGGGGAGGATACGGGAGAGGCGGGGGGGAAGCGGGCGCAGGAACAGAAGAACAGGAACCAACTCGACCAGTCGCTGCCTGGGGGGGCCCTGGGCCGTTTCGGGAATCCGTCTCTCTTCCCTTGCCTCCATCGTCCTCCACCCCCTCCTCCCTGTTCCCATCCCTTCACTCTCCTCCTCCCCACATCGTCCTCCACCCCTCATCCCCTTGTCGTCATCCACCTCCATCTCCTCTCGTCGCCTCCCCTTTCCATTATCGTCCCCCTTGCAAGTCCAGCCCTTCCTCCTCACCCGCCCCTCGCCCTCCCTCTACAATTAAATCATATGAATACTACTCTCCCTCCTCCCCTGGAGTTGTCCGGAAGATCTCCAGCCCCCTCAGCGTGCTCTTTTTTTGCTCACCGGATCTCAAACAGTTGTTTACCATGCTTTTGTTTACAATCCGACTGTCTTCGGTGTTTCAAAGTGTTGCTCCCGCAGCAGCGAGGGCCTAATTTTCGGATCGACGCTTTGCTCCAGTCGTTCAGAATGGCGCTATCGCCCCATTCCTGGATCTGAATATTGCTTCATTGTGACCTCCACCCCTCATTTCCCCTCCTTCACCTTATCCTGGTCATCCTGTTCCTCCCGCTTCTTCCACTCAAATTCTTGTTGCTGCTGTGCGTCTCACCCCCAATCAAATCGACGCCTCCGCATTACCCGGGCTCTCCTTTTACTCCTTGTCTTTCCCCTCCAGTTATTTTGCTGCTGTTCGTCCTCGTCCTTGTCCTCCTGCTCATTCTCCTGTTCACCCTCCTGCTCCTCCTGCTGCTCCTGTGCTGGCAAATCCCCTTTTGCCCGACTTTGCATACCATGAAGTGGTCCTTCTGTGGGAGACGCAGGTCGGTCACGACACGCGTCCGCAGATATCACCGCCCACCAAACCACCCCAACCCAACCCGAAGGCCACGATTTGCCCTCCACTTCCAGTGGGGGGGGGTTCGGGGAACATCGAAACAACACGTGGAACCCTTCCCCTCCCCAAACCCGAAATTCGGGTCACATTCGGGTCTTCGGGTTGGGTTGGGGTGGTTTGGTAGGTGGTCAGGAACCCTTTTCGCTTGGGGGGGCTCAGTGTTCCTTAGCTGTTTTGCAGTTCGCCTTAGGTTTTCCCCAGGTTTCCTGTCGGAACTCGAAGCTTAACTTATGGAAATAGGGGCCTCGATCCTTGTGTAGGGTTCCTTGGGCCAACGCCCCGACTGTACGCGCGGATAGACACCGATCAGCGCCACGGGGCGGGACGAGATGGAGAGATCGGATGTCGGCCGAGGCGCGAGCGCGCCGGGCTGGCCCTCCCCCTCCCTCCTGCCTCGCCCCTGCCTCCACGCCTGAGCACCTGGCATCGCTCGGACGTATGCGTTTGTTCCTCGGCGTGAACCATTGAGGACGATCCTGGACCATCGAGCAAAACAAACACGCACGAAACCGAAAAGTGCACGGGAGATGGACGTCCGAGCGATGGCGAGGAGCTTTGCGCAAGAACTTCCCCCCCTCCCCTGAACGTGTCCGGGAGGTCTCCCGCCCCCTCCGCGTGCTGTGTGCTCTCGGCGTACGGGGGCTTCAAACGCTGGCTTTCTTTTACGGTGTCTGCAGTCCGATTCTTCTCGGCGTTTCAAGATGGTGCTCCCGCTGCAGCGTGGGCCTCGTTTTCGGATCGGCGCCTTGCTCCAGTCGTTCAGAGTGGCGCTCTCGCCACAGCGCGGGCCACTGTTCTGGGTGCGAGTCTTGCTTCATTGTGGCCCCCCTTTTTGTTGCCCTCCTCCGCCCTCCCTTGGTCGTCCTGTTCCTTCCCGCTCTTTCCACTCCAGCTGCTGCTGCTGCTGCTGCTCGTCTCGCCCCCACACGGGCAACTATTCAAGATCCGAGTCGTTCTTCATCGTTGTCGTCTCCCTCATTTCCCCTCCGCCGCCTTCCCCTGGTTTTCCTTGTCCTCCCCGCTCTTCCGCCTTAGCCCTTGCTGCTGCTGTTGCTGTTCGTCCTCATCCTTTTCCTCCCGCCCTTCCTCGTACTCATCCGCCATCTCTTCCTCCTGGGCACGCAGCCCTGTTTATGGCCCGGGCTTGCTTATGTTCAGTCATGTCGCTTCGAGATCACAGATCGGAGATTGCCAGGCAAGCTAGGGGACAGCTAGCGAAAAGCGAGATCGGCAGTGCCCCGACCGCAGGTGGAGTTGGCCAGAGCACCTTCCAAAGAGAGAGGGTAGATCTAAACCGCTGTTCAGAATAGCTGCCTGCTGTGGGCTTGTTCGTGCATGTATCGCGTCGGGTCGCCAGCTCTCTTCGTTGGGGCAACAAGCATCAGTGCGTGGCACAGCTGTGGTCCGCAGCTTGTTGCACCGGCCGGCTGACGTGCTAGTTGTTTCAGGGGAGGAGATCGGCCAGGTACAGTGATGAATCGTACTCATTGCGTTTCTAAGGTTCCAACCATTCAGCGGCGGTGGAAATCGGCTTGATAGCGGCGCGTAGGTGCCATGTGAGTATGCGC